GAGGCCTGGTTCTGGTTCCAAGCCTGACGAGGTGGGACATAGGCACTAAAGATTCAAAATCAGCAAAGCACTCTTCTGTTTCAAAGATTCAAGGGACTTACTCGTCTTGGCTGTACCTGCTTGCCTCGCTCATGTACGTGTCGTGCCTCTGAGGGTGAGACCTGTTTCCGCCGTTTTGCTGCTGCTGGAGCCCGACCATGCCGGCAATGTCAGCATCACTGTCACGGAACTGACCGAAACCCGCAGGTGGATGCGCAGGGCTTCCTGTAGCGGCGTCCATCTCAACCGCTTGGCCAACCATTGGCTGTCCGTCGTGGCCAGGGAGAGGCGGAGGTGATTCAGCTCTCGGCAAGCTCTGACGCTGAGGGTTGTAGGCTTCATAGCCCTGCTCTTGTTGAGGGATAGATGGGAGAGAAGGGTTTGTGAGGTTGTTCGAACTGGTGTACCCCGGGGCCATATCCATAGAACGACGTCCGTAGGGGCCGCCAGGAGGAGGACCACCGTAGCCGTTGGCTGGGCTTGGACGACGGTCGTACGGTCCAGGACCTCCGGGACCACCAGGTCCGGGTTGATAGCCTGGCGGAGGTGGTCGGCCTCCTCTCATACTGTTTGGTCCAAAGCCGCCGCGAGGGGGTGGCGGGCCATACCCGCCTCGACCACCAGGCGGAGGGCCACCATAACCTCCTCGTCCGGGAGGACCTCCATAGCCACCTCTTCCTGGCGGCGGAGGGCCGTAGCCACCATATCCGCCTCTGCCACCGTAGCCACCACCGCGCCCTCTGAATCCTCCAGGAGGCATACCGCCCCTACCTCTCATGCGCTCCTGCGAGGGACCTCTTCTTGGGCCAAATCCATCTTGAGGCGGCAGCGGGTTTCCATAAGGATCTCTCTGGATCGGTGGGACAGAACCAGATCGTGAAGGAGGAGCATCGCTAGCAGTCATGACGCCTTGAGAGCCATTGACCGGACTTCTTGCTGTGAGAGGGATACGTTCATCGCTGACCTGGTCATTGTTCTTCTGAGATTCGAATGAGGCAAAGGTCGGCATCTTATCAATGCCGTTTCCTCCGCTGACAACGGGAACAGTAGGCTGAGAGGCGACCGACGCAGCAGTCTTTACCTGAGCCTCGCGGTTGTAGTAATTCTCTCCGCTCATCTCAGCGTTCTCGGCGATTCTCTTCTTCCTGGCCTTTCTGCTGACCAACATGCGGCGCATAGCACACGAGACCAAACCGCTCATTCCGACAAGAATGGTAGCGGCAAGGACGATGTATGAGCCCCATGCCATGTGGGGGACGAAGAGGAGAACATCAACGAGGAAAGCCAATAGACAGATGAGGAAGTCGATGAAAGAGAAGATGAAGAGGGCGAGAAGGTATCTCGCAGAATGAGAGGGCGAGTGAAGGTGAGCGACGGCAGCCATGATGAACATGATGAGAGTCGCGAGGGCAGCGACAGGATGTACGATCAAGATGGCTGACAGAGTGTTTCGGGCAGAGTCTGGGAGGTCAAAGGCCCCCTTACTATCCGCGGCTCCAAAAACTCGTGCTGTAGAGAGTGTCAGCCACAGTCCCCCGTTTCGGTAGTCAGCAGTGTACCACGTTGAATTACTTACTCGTGTCATAACCAATCTCAGGGCCTTCGCAAGTGCCGTCTGCCTTACAGACGCCAAAGACTCCGAAGTTGGCTCCCTTGAAACTACCCAGCGGAATAGCCTTAATAATCGGGGTTGATAGGGTAGACAGCAGAAGCAAGGCGAAGGCCGCAAAAAGCAGCACCGACATGGGGGTTGCCGGCCGCAACATGATGGCGGTTTGTCGTCGAAGAAACCTGCTTCCAAAGAGTGGTACGGTGAGCCGGCGTCGTCAAGACGCGGCGAAATGAGGGGTGGGTTGCGCCCGAGGGATTCGGGTGTCGTCGTCAAGAAGTTGTTCGGGGTCGGCTAGTGTAAGAAGTCGTTGCGCGGCATCGTCTACTGGTTGGACAAAATCGTAGTCGAAAATAGTGACATGAATGAGAGTAACGAAGTGTCGATGAGAGTCGTATGGCAATAGATTCCTTTCTCTTTCTTTCCTGCTAATCCTCTTGCTCGACTGTCCCCAAGTTTGCTCAGTCGGTATTCTAACGGGTGCTGCTGGTATTGGCGCTGAAACAATGTCGCAAGGAGACGGGATTTCGGTCGACGAATTTAAATCAAATCGATTCGGACGAGGTGGGAGAGAGTCGTGGAAGTTGTGTCGTGTCCTAAATGCAGGGCTGCATCCAGGGGAATTGGATTGAGGTTGTGCGAAGTGAATAGGATCGAGTTCCTCCTGTTCGACCTGGAGAAGGGAAGAGGGAGAAAGAGACAAAGGTACGCACGATCTGGGGAGGAAGACGATGTGGGCGGATGAGTGGGAGAGTGGGCGACTTGTGTGGAGGGAGCGAAGATGGAAAAGTGGGGTCTTGACCGTGGGTGCAGCAGGAGTGGGCAGTTTTGGGCCACACGGCAGGGGAGCCAAGGGGATTTGGGAACAGGGGGGTGCAGTCAAGTGTCGTAGAGGGGGTGCGGTGAGAGAAAGGAGATGGGAGGCAGGAAAGACGTTTACCACCACCACTACCGTAAGTGCGACTGGTTCTGGAAGAGCGAGGTTCCTAAGATAGATAGCTCAGGTTTTGGTGCAGGATTCCAATGTAATAGCGGGAGGCGTTGGGCAGGTTGCGTAGCTGGATGTGGCTGGGGCAGTGGCCAAGCTGCAGTCGACATGCCTATTTATCCAATTACCTTGATTTAGAACTGCAACCAGCCAGCTTCATTTGCATGGCCTGCTTTGCGAGGCTGATGATTGATCATGAGTTCTTGTTCTGCAGGCAACACGTCCTGTGGTGCTTGTATCGATTGTGCCTTGAGGGCGAAATGCGTCCGTCGCCCATGATGGTACCTATTTCTTTTCTATCTCCACCCCCAGGGTGGAAGATGGACTCATTGTGCCTTCCCTGGAGGGATGGATAAGATACGTACTATTTAGAGGTCCAGCATGCAAGTAAAAGTGCACAGCCCACCTAGGTAGCAAACGACTTGCAGGCACCAAGCAGCGCAGATTGGCAGAGAGTCGGGAGGCAGGCACGCTGCAAGCCGCACGACAGGATCGTGTCGAGGGCGACGAGATTGGAGTGCGCGAGAAACGGAGGCGGGTCTGCATCTCCATGCAGTCAGACACTGGGCTCACATCGTCTGCCACGAGAGCCTGGAACCCAGATGACCCCATGTGGGCTCTCTGCAGCGGGTGTTGTGCCCGCTAACTCGTTGGTTCAAATCAATATTCTTCCCCCCGCCGCCGAAATGCAGCGCAGGTTGGCCCCAATATCGATGGGGGGCAGGCACGAACAGGCACGCCGCACTCCAAGAATCTAAATGGCAGGTACCTGAGTAATGTACCGTCCTTAGCGCAAGACCGGAGGTATTCTTTGTTCCTCAACGCGTGTCCAACTGTCCCCCGGCAGCCACACCATTCCATCTCTCTCTTCCCAAGACATGCTGCACCGACTGCGTGGCTTTCCCAAAAGGTCAATCTTCTCCGAGCTCGACAGGACAATGCCCTTGTTCTCGCGGAAGTCTGGTCCGGCCTCCATTTTGACCAGAGACATTGAATGCCATTAGGCTTCGTCACAGAATACCGTTATTCTGTCTTCCGAGGTAGCTCCGGCCAATAGGAGCCTCTTACGAATGATGTGAGTACGCTTCGTCTACGAATAAGGGACCTAACCACACATTCATTTACGCAGCTGGCAAGCCATCCATGGAAACACAAGTCCACCTTAATACCATGCGGTATACAACGCAGACGGGACGAATACTTGCAAAAGAGCCAATAGATCCTTTGTCACCAAGCCAGCCACAAACGACTGCGGCTAAGCTTCCCTTCCATTAGTGTGACCCCAGGAAGCCGGGACCGAGTCCGCTACCATCAGCTCACAGATAGTAGCACCACAGGACCCGACTCGAATCTCTGACCAACGAGAAAAAAGTTGAGCGACGACCAGGTCATCTCTAATTTCCCAAATTACGACCGATATCACCCCGACAAGATGGAGAGTGGGAAAAAAAACTCAATCCATCCCCGTCTAGTCAGGTCCCGGTCGATTCTAGGTCGGCCTATCTGCAATCGACTGCACGCAATCGCGTGCTTACCCGGCAGGCCCTACTCATCATACAAATCCGCGTGAGCTTTTCATGGGAAGCCACTGATTGAAATATGGCAAGCCACAGTACAGTTACGTTACGGAGTACGAAGTACTAAGTGCTACTTTTCTAGACCCTGGATACCTGGAAGCTCAGGGCTTCTCTACGGATACCTAGTCTGACAGTGTCACGAACAACCTTACCCCGATCAAGCAGGTCGAGATCGAGCGCTCGCGAGGCTATGGCCCCCTGGAATTCAACAAAGCTTAGCAGGATGAGGAGTGGAATGGCGATGGATGCACCGTGCCGGCAAGCCCTCATCCTTCTCGTCCTCTGCAATCACCCCGCCGCTCAAAGATCCTAGTTGGAACAACTCCACCAATCATATGTTTTGATGATCCGAATTAGCCATCTAGTGCTGTGCTTCCAAAGTCCCAATCACTCTGTGAGCGCTGCATCTCTCATGATCGTACGGAACCTCAAGGTCTTCATCATTGCGGGATTCGTGAGCTGACTTCCTGTGTAGCTTTTGACCTGACTCCTGCAAACTTGCGAACAGCTTCAGACTCCTCCGTGGTCAAACGGACGACGCAAAGGCATAGCATCGTGAATTAAGGCCCCCTTGTCGGGATGGGGCACCAGAAACTCTCTCGGTATCCTGGGCCCAGGGGCCCACGCAACGCCGTTGTCGGTCGCATCCCTACACTGCAATTACAAGCATCCACTCTGCCTTCGATAAGTTCCAAGCAACTATTGTAACGACTTGAGGACCGTGGATCGCCCGCGTAGCAGATACATGCGACCACCGCTGTGCTCCACGTCAATCGGCGGCAAGCGTTCATTTTGCCATATTTCTCGTTGGTACGCAACGTTTCTCTGACATTTTGAGCCTTCCACGGATATATACTTCACCTGTTGAACCGTCGGATTCGCGAGGCATGAGGACAAAGAGAAACAAAAAGTTGCGGCACCCAGATTGCGTTGACCAACTTGGTTCCAGTAACAGGTACCTGTCGACATCAACGTCAAGAGATCCAGGCGTATCGGAAATGCGAGAAGCAGCCCCGGTGCCTAAGACCACAACGACGACGGCCATACTCTGGATCGAAAGTCGAAACATAACCGCTCTGCTGACCAAGACAGCTAGCCCACCGCCGCAACGACGCGTTATCGGGCGCTAGCATCGCTACCCTGGGCTATTTCAGGCTGTCCAAGCTTTGGCCGTGCCTCCTCAATGGGAAGAAGCTCGTCAGAGACGGGAGGAATATTAGGTCGCCTCGAAGACGACCTTCGCCCAGAGCCTCTTCCATTTGTTCCATGGCGTCGTTGGCCGAAATGCTTCGCGCGTGATGTCTACCGTGATGCCAGCGTTGTGGCTGTGGTATTGACTTCTTCAGATGAAGAGAATCTTGAGGCAACTGGCTGACAATAGGCGACTCTGTGACACGGGCGCTTCGCCGTCTCAGATTCTGACGCAGACACCAAGGTTGTTCGCCCTGCAACTCCTGCGGTCTTCCATGCCAAAACCCCCACAGTCCATTCTGCCGCCAGCTTTCAGTCATCCCGGAACGCAGCAGCCCATGCCGCCCGCCGTATAGCCCGCCTGTTATGAGCGAGAAGCGAAGCCATCTTGATGAACTCTCAGTCTTGAGCGAGTCAAAATATGAACTGCTCGTCGATCGACGGCTTGTTCTGGGCCCCTTTGATCATTCCGGAGCTTACCCCCTGGCTAGGTCCAATTGTTCGACACGTAGTCACGTCGGCGCCATGGCCTTCCGTCTTCAACCTTCAGGCCCCAGGACGTGCCAGAGCGACTCACCTCGAATACCTAGGTCGGATACATCAGCTACCACTGACACGCGACGGTCCGGGTCTGACTATGTCTATTCAGAGACGCCACTCTGAAAGTCGGGGTTTTGTGGCCAAGCTTTTGCCGATTGTTACGTAGAGTCTTTAGACGATGCTTCATCCATCGTCTTCCTACCCTAAGATACCCGGTCAAACCTTGCCAAGTTTAGCCATTGGCAGCCATGGTCTACTCAATCATCTGTATAGCTCTTCGCCAGGGCCCTCAACTCATGTTGGGGTATTCGGAGAATAGATTGCCCACGGTAAACAGACTGAGCTCTGCGTCCAATGTCGAGACATGTCTCGGTATGTAGGCACAGTTAGAGGCTCCTGCACGACAGCCGAGGCGTCGCACCACGGTGGGTGAGGCTAGACGGTCCATCAAAACCAAGCCCAAATTATCGACCCTCATTGTTTCCTGACTCAAATATATTTCCGTAGGCAATTTACAACTTTTATATTGCCTAGAACGGCAAAAGACTGGAACTTCTCCGCTGACAATGGAATGGCGCCCATCCCATCAAAACGTTCTATGATTGCCTCTGGTCTTACTGAACCCACGCGCACCTTGTAGATCTGATGGGTGTGCAGGGACACTTGGTTCATGCACTCATTCTTGCCAGACCCTCTAAGCTCAAACCAAGACGTCACGTCTGTCGACCACTTGCGTCATGGTCAACCCGAGCGACGCTGCGTCTTCTATTCGCACGACGGATCGGATCACAATGCCCCTAGGCAGTGGTGTGCAACCTCGGTTTCTGCCACAACAAGCAAGCACCCTCCTCTCACCAGCAATGAGAAATTCAGACGAAGGAATGGTTGACATGCCTTACATCGAGGGACCGACACCCGCTGAGCTGCTGGTTGCGGGAACGGCCGCCGCCTAACTGCATGAGGAGCCGACCAACCTTTTTTCTTCTGTGTGCTTCCCGCCTCCCCCCTTCGTCACGACCTTTAGCATGTGGTGTCTGCCAAAGGGTTCAAGTGGCTGAAGCTGCCGTCATTCAAGCTTTGCCCATGAAATCGGCCCACAACCTCGCTTTTGTTTCACTTAATCTCAGGCACCGGACGCCGTCGATCCCCAATGCTTCAGAACGCGGCACTTTGGATGGAGCCACGGCCTACCCTGTCAGTCAGCCGGCGGGAAAGGGGCGCTCTGGCTGTATGGCGTACTACGTCGTCAACCTTGAAATAGGCGCTGGCCAGTTATAGAGCTTTTGACTAGGAGGTGAAGGCATCGAGGGGCAGAAAGTGGTAGATGCGCAATGCTGCCAGAGGTTTCATTGGCTTTTGGGCTCGGGTCGGCCACTTTCGTGATCTAGACCACACGCTTTGGAAGAGGCTTATTTAGGCAATTGCTTTGAACGTGTCAATTAGACAAACGGTAAGATGCTTCTTCATCTTCGAGGTTTGGTGTCAATTCCTTCACATTCAAAAGTGCATTCCGGCTCTGCAGAAAGGTCCGGCAGGTCTCGGATATAAGACTTGAAAATAAGGTTAGTAGTCACGGATCGGGACTATTTCACAGTATTGAATAATCCCGCTGGACTCTGGAGCGACTCGGCAAACTCATTCTATATTACTCCGGTTTACTCCCTGGGGACCCAAGGCTGACCCGCAAGGAAATACGCGAGCTTGCGCTGTTGCTGCTGCTGCGGAATAGACTAAACTCAACGTGCTCGACTGTTGAGTAATTACGCCGGGTCAGGGTTCGTGAGACCTCTTGGGTTCGTCAAAAGAGGCAAAAGGCCTCGTGCCGCTATTTGAATCTTGACTAGAAAATACAGGCAGATCAGCCAAACCTTGGGATTAAGAATGAGGTCTACTCATCGGTTATTGAATGCATTCTCCTAGTCCTAACTTGCTTGAGACCACTTACATGGAAACCACACCAGTTTACAACTCATCATTGAACACTGACCGGTGCCTATCGCCAGGTCCGAGGTGGGCACCTGCAATCGGTGCCGAAAGCGATCGGGCGGGGCCGGGGATAAGCGGATGCAACGGACGCATCGGTGCTTGATTCGCCGACGGAGATTTCCTTTTGCTGTATGGATGGCGTACCTCAGTGGCCTGGCCCTCGTTATCGTCATTGATCTGACCTACCTACCTGACCCTGTGGCGCCAACGACAGATCCGGCGGCCGCGCCGAACCCGATTGACCTCTGACGGGACTTTTGCAACTTTTTACCCTCAACCTCAACCTTCTCTTTCTCTCCATTTGGTTGTCATTTCTCCCCCCTTAGACTTGAGGACACAAGGTAATGGGAGCCTCTGACTTCCGCCTTCATTCCCTCCTCATACGTCCTCTTCATTCCCTCCTCATACGTCCTCGTCATTACCAATTATGTTACGCCAGAGCATAGCTGGTCTCTCCGCCGCGAGATCACTAGCGCAGAGATGTCTCTTCTCGACCTCCGCGGGCGCCGCGGGGCGTCATCACCTACTGCATAGATCGAGATCGATACGGACAACGGCCACAGCGACAAGGACAGCGGCGAATACGACGACATCACGACTCCTCTCCCACAGCAGAACGGCGCGCATCCACACGAGCAGCGCCCGCCGCGCCCTCGTCCCCCCTTCGCCAGAATCCCTCGGCGCACCAAAAAAGGCGCGCACATACAAGCGCAGCTCCAAATGGCTGCGCCGCCTCGTCATCTTCTCCGCCGTCGGCGGCACGCTCTACCTCGCCGACCGACAAATCTACGCCTCGGGCTTCGCCCGCTCCCTCCGCACCTTCGGGACGGGCCTCCTCGTCGCCCTCGACTACAAGCTAAACTTCCGCCCCGAGCCGCTTACCGGCGGCACCGTGCAGGACTTGCACGTCCGCAACGCCGAGCGCCTGTTCGACCTGCTGCGGCACAACGGCGGGCTCTATCTCAAGATCGGCCAGGCCATCGCCATGCAGAGCGCCGTGCTGCCGCCCGAGTTCCAAAAGATGTTTGCGCGCATGTTTGACGACGCGCCGCAGGACGACTGGAGCGACGTCGAGGCCGTGATCCGCGAGGACTTTGGCGGGCGGAGGGTCGAGGACGTATTTGGCGTCAGCTTCCGCGGGGAGGAAGGGAAGGGCGTCATGGAGAGGCGGGCGAGGGCGAGCGCCAGCGTCGCGCAGGTGCACTGGGCGCGGCTGCCCGACGGCCGCGAGGTGGCCGTCAAGATCCAGAAGCGGGAGATTGCCAAGCAGATCACGTGGGACCTGTGGGCGTTCAAGACGGTCGCGTGGATCTACAGCAGGTGGTTCGACCTGCCGCTGTACAGCCTCGTGCCCTTCATCACGGAGCGGCTGGAGCTCGAGACGGACTTTTTGAACGAGGCCAAGAACTCGGAGACGATGAGGGACCTGATCAACTCGGAGAAGGGCCTCCGCGGCAGGGTGTACGTTCCCAAGGTCTATCCGGAGCTCTCGACGCGGCGCGTCATGGTGACGGAGTGGATCGAGGGTACGCGGCTGTGGGACAAGCAAGGGATCAACGGGCGGTGGATGGGCGGGTACGGCAAGGGGTCGCCGGGCGTCCACGGCGCGCAGCTTCAGCCGCCCGACATGGCTACCGTCCGCCGCGAGCTCCGCGACCGGCCGTACGCCGAGCAGTTCAAGCCGGAGCGGAGCGAGTGGAAGGGCCGTCGCGGGCGCGGCGGCCTGGGCTTGTCGAGCAAGGAGGTCATGACTACCATGATCGACCTCTTCTCCGCGCAGATCTTCAAATGGGGCGTCGTCCACTGCGACCCGCACCCGGGCAACATCTTCATCCGGCGCCTGCCCAGCGGGCGCGCGGAGCTGGTGCTCATCGACCACGGCTTGTACGTCTACATGTCGCCCGAGTTCCGGCACCAGTACGGCGTCTTCTGGAAGGCGCTCATGACGTTCGACAACAAGACGATTGAAAAGGTGACGACGGAGTGGGGCATCAAGGCGGCGGACCTCTTCGCGAGCGCGACGCTGATGAGGCCGTACGAGGGCGGCGACGAGCGGACGCGCAACGGCATCATGAAGGAGCTCGAGGGCAAGACGCCGGCGGAGCGGCACTACGAGATGCAGCAGCGGATGAAGCAGGGGATCCGCGACATGCTGGCCGATGAGGAGAAGTGGCCCAAGGAGCTGATTTTTATCGGGCGCAACATGCGCATCGTGCAGGGGAACAACCAGTACCTCGGCAGCCCCGTCAACCGCGTCAAGATGATGGGGGAGTGGGCGAGCCGCAGCCTGTTTGAGGATCCGAACTTGCCGTGGGCCAAGAGGGCGGGTAACGCGTGGCGGCATTTGCTGTTCAAGGGCGTGTTGGCGCTGACGGATGTCGCGTTTTACTTTTTCAAGGTGAAGCAGCTGCTTGGGTTCGGGGGCGGCATGGAGGATGAGATGGAGAAGAGGATGAAGGATATCGCGCAGGATTTCGGGGTTGAGCTGCAGCATGAGGTGTTTGAGGGTTAGACGGTGAAGATATGTGAATAGGGCGGGGGAGAAGAGGAAAGCTTTAGAGAAGTAGAGAAGGTTCATTAGATCCGGGTTTTCGGTGTTTAGGGGCTCGGTGAGAATCTTAGAGAGACCTTTGATATAGGAAAGATACCACTCATCTGTTCAATGCTCAGTCCCTCGACCGTCACTGTCACGCGTGTATATGAACGTACTCGCGGCAGTGTCCTACTTTCTAGCTCGAGTCTTCCGGCAGAACCGTGCAGAGTAGAAGGCGAGGGATGTTCCAACTAGCGAGAAACCAATCTGCCGTGCCGTTGTAATGGACCATGCCTACGGTGTTTGAATTTTCCTTACCCAGGGGAAGAAACTTCTTCTCGAGGTACCAGGGCGTTGAGGGGCAGCCACGATACAATATTAGGAGTCTGTCATTTACGCGGCTAGCTTCTTCGTTCATCACTTGCCCGAACACACAGGAGAGGATCTGGCTCATCTTTGCGGGACAAGCTCTGCTAATTAATAGCCCAAACAACGCTGAGAAAGTGCCTATCAATACGGCAGGTGAGACCTACGTACCCTCTCACAATGATAGGTTCTCTTTTTTGGGGACTTTCCCTTCGCCAACGCCAGTGGATGGGTGTATTGTGGATAAAGGCCGTCTCGTATTGGGAACAGAATGAAAGAGTAGTGGCTTCAAGATGTCCTGCAGCGTCTTGGCTTTAGAATGCATGACATCATGAAAGCATAGGAGCAGATGATTATGCAAGTGAATATTCGAAAGGTGCTTCAAGCTGCCTTTGGTAACACTTTCTTCATTGGTGAGACTAGCAGAAGATTATATTCTTTCAATGCATTTTGAGGCTTGTGTCATTTCCAAATCGGTCTCGAAATAAAGAGTGTCACCACTAATGTCCTAATCCAATGTTTCCTCTCCAGGCAAATCGCTTCTGTGGCGGACATGGTATCTTCATAACCTTAGGGTATAGTCTAGCACCTTACGAAAGTCGGCATAACAGTCCGCCTCCCAGGCAGTCTCTATCCAAGGTGATTTCTTATTGGAGTGACTACTTTCTTTCGCTTTTGTGGGCCACCGGTACTTTATCCTGATCTAAGTACTAGACGAGCGGCCCAGAGAAGAATGGAAGGGTATTCTTTCCCCCTTTCTACTCGTTGTATTCGGAGCTCATGGTGTCTCTGAGTTCTTAGTAATGATAGAGGCCAAATAGTGGATTTCAGCAACTACAACCACAAGCGCAATCACAAGCGCAGCAGATGAGCTCCGGAACAATGCGGTACAGAAAAGCTCGATCAAGTCAGGAGCTGGCGAAGATATAGAGTTCGTTAGAGAAGAGGAAAGGCGAAAGATGCCTAAGTCACTCATATCATGTTGAGATTCACTGTTGATTGGGACGTCGAAGGTCCAGAGGAATCGACTACGAAGATGGAGATCGCACCTACCTGGCGAGGTGTTCATCAATGTCTGTAAGGACAGCTTCCACTGACTACCATTTGCAGAATTCGTTCCGGCGAGAAGACATAAAGACTTGGCGTTCCGGTTCGTCAACACGATGTAAAGAGCCTACTGGAGTTCGTGACTGCAATTCCCGCGGTACGACACCAGGTGTGTGTACTGCCTGCCCTTGCCGACTCGAAGCAGCTGCTCTGATCCGTGCCACGATACAAGTAAGAAGACTTTAGAGCATTTGATTCATACTTCAAGCAAGTTCAGAACTTGCTGCCTTTTGGCATCGATTAGAAAGATCTTCAAAACTTCGTCGGCGGCAAAGGCGAGGGTCTGATATGGGCAAGCGGCGATGATGAAGTTGCGTGAGTCCTTGGATAGCCGAGATCGTAAACTTATTACGTCGATAAGGAGCTGGTACTAGGCCCCGTCCCCGGTCCCGGGTATATCGTAAGGCGTATACGTCAAGCTGGCTTGCTAGACTTGAGTAGAGAGAGCTGCGGTATGCTTGATGAAGACAGACCCCCACGACTATGGCTGGACGAAGACAGACACAAATCACGATGTTCGTTCAGTCTATCTAGGCCTCGAGGAGGGCCTCACCCAGTGCCTTGTCACACACCAAGACAAGGGGCTACATTCCTTGGTGTTCCTATGAACAGAGTGGCCGAATGAGAATTATTTATAAGGTCCAAAAAGCCAGGGTCATACAGAGCGCAGAAGAGTTCCAGACTTATCTGTCACACTGCTAGAGGTAAACTTCCGCCTCCTCGCAACCCAAGGCGACGGCGCCTCATCAACTCACGGATTCCAGGAGCAACTCCAGAAGTAGGGAGTGTATATGCCCAGGTGATAAAAACATGCAAGATACTTGCACTGCAAGGCAAAATGAACATCAGTCCTCTCCTCACCTGGCCTGAAGTAAGCACAACTACGGACGTGGCAGTTCCAATCTCAACATCGCCAGGCCCCCTTGCAGACTTCGTCGGGACACAAACCCGTCTAAACAACCACACTGACTAAGGCCAACAGACAATGTTCGGAAGCATTTACAACCTCACCCTTGCTGGGCTGCGTAAGAGGAGAGTACATGTAATGTTTGACAAGTGCAGCAACCTAACCGAGTACCGTCGGCTCACTCGGTTGCGGTGTAAGGCTGATGCAAACAATGAACGCCCACTTGCCCAGGTAACCTTGTTTCTTACCACCCTGGCTCGGTAGATGTCCATTTGTGGGATCTGTATCAGACAGTGCTGGTTTACAGTTCGTCACGAAGGCAGTCGCTGGTAAATCTGCTGACGCGCGCGAGAGAGACTGTTGTACCAGTCCAAGAATGAGCACAAAGCCCCTCGTGAGTATGGAATCGTTGAGCTTCATGTCTACGGCGCTCCACGGGTTGACTTCAAGGGTCTGAAAGCCTAAAGCCAGCAACGACGCAGGATTCACAACCTCAGAAAATATGAACTTAACCAGTGCCATGGGCCCGGAGGCTCGACTCGGTATAATGTATTGCATGGGAGCGGGAGAGGCATGAGCCAGCGGGCCGACGGGGGGCGCCACCCGAGCGAGCAGGGCGTCAGGGCGCTGGACACCTGGAGTACGGAAGCTGTTTCCGCGATATTGCGGTTCACGGGGATCTTCCCAGACCTGGTTGAATGAGATGCCAGGGCTGGGTAGGCTCACACGAAACCACCGGTTCTTTGTGAAGCCGCCCGATAAAATGAGGGGGGATATTGATATTCGCGGTGGTTTAATGTATTGAATTGCATGAAGTCGAGTTAAGCTTAGGGCTATGAGAGGAGATCAGCAGACATTAGTGTGCCTTTTATGTAGTAGTCTTGTCTCGGTGCCTGACACTTGAAAAGGCAACCGCCTTGTCTCACACCTCAACATTCAAGTCGAAGTCATGGTGGTATGGATGGAAGGAAGTCTAGACTGAATGGTATTTGTGCTCCCTACCAGGCCAGCAGCGGTAAGGCCATGCGGAAATGAGAATGAGAGAAAAAAAATCAAGCAACACAAGTTGGACCCCTGGAATGCGGTTGTGCTTTGTTCCACAAGCTAAAAGCACTGTAAAATTGGAGCGCCGATCGATCTCGGACAATTTGAGAGGAATTTTTGGGATGAGATGGCATGAAGGAGCGCGTGGTTAATGTGAAACATGGGCCATTTCGGCGTCGGAAGCCCCACAGTTCATGGGGACGGGAGCCGAGAGGAAAGAGGGGCCGTGGATGGGGAGCGAGATTGGCTGGTTATGGGGGGCTCGAGTGAGAGGTGACAAGACGGTTGAGGGTTTATTAGAGTTTTGAGGACAACCGTGAATGAGCCTAGAGCATTTTGACAGTTAAGTTGCGTGATGGTTTGCTGCTGGTGCTTGGTGTTAGTGGGTGTGTAGGGCAGGATGACGGACGGCAGGCCAGCGGCAGTTGCATGTTGCAATACCAGATCGCCGTCCACATCTGGACTTGTCAGTGAGGTAGCATGTCGACGATCTTCCGGTGAGCATTCGGGAGAGAGCGAGTCGGGTCGACCAGCGCACAAGGCGGGCAGCGAGAGCATAGACAATTCCATCCGTGCCACGAGCCCTGCAAGCTACGGTATGCCGCGTAAAAAGGCAGAGTCAACCCACCATTCCAGTGATTGGATTGCTGCAGTACCACTTGGTACGATGGCGGGCTACACAAGCTCAATAACTTGAGTTGGCTTCGGGGAGCGATGCTGTAGGATGCCGAGCGGTGTGTGTGTGTGTGTATGTGTGTCTGAGCAAGCATAAGTAAACGTGAATTGCCAAGACGCCTCTATTCCCCTTCGAATATTCGATGACCAGTCAAAAGTTCGGGAAAGTTACGCTTTATCTAAGCTCTAGGTAAAGAAGAAAAAGCGAAACCTTCGCGAAGACCACGCGTGACAGACGCGCGGGAAGCATGATGAACGGGAACCAACAAGCAAATACCGAGTTGGCTGGAGGTGATTGGCCAGGGGATGAAGTTGACGAGATGCGGGTGGGCAGGGAATTTTTGGGAGTTGCGAGTTGCGAAATGCAATCACTGAATGCAATCTTCAGGGGTTGCCTGGGCCTGAGGCACATTTCTTGGATTGTTCTTGCTGGGAAGGTAGGTTTGTGATCTTTTGTCGCGGTTGCTTCAGGGAGGGTCCCTTTCGGCGAGAGTCTGGGACGGGCTTCCTCTCGCCTTCCGTTACATCTGAAAGCGCTCGAAACTCAGTCATGGGAAGGCGCTTATCCGTGTAAGCGAGTACGGTCTCCTACCACTTACCTTGAAGTACGGATACTCCAAGGAATGTACCGAGCATTTCGTCCCATTATCTAGACTTACGCGGCTAAACAAAATGGTGAGATGACTTTTAGTGGTGTCTGAGACGGCAAGAAAGTTGATGACGAAAAAGCAAGCTCTTCTTCAGGCGGAGAAGATGTTCCCATGCGCCGACCTCAACAGTGCGTAACGTCATTATCAGTATTCCGGACTCTCAGCCCTGTTTGTGTGTTAATTGAAAAGGGGAAAGAAAAAGGGGCAGAAGACGATGCGGTAATTCTTGTATCGGGGACTAGTGTTGGTTTAGTGGGACACGGTACAATGCATGAACACGGTGTAGAGACTGCGTTAATGAGATTAATACTGCTATTGGTCGATGCCCAGTAGCTCACCGCCATGCAATTCGGGAAACATGCATTGGAAGACTACGAGATTCCGCATCTGCTGACATGCGAGCTTGAAGAATCCAATCATTTCGGATCTGGCACGTTTGATGCCGACATTCTGAACTTCGTACAGAAGTCACTGGCTCAGACTAAGGTAGGTAATGTAGACGGGCCCAGAGATAAGAAGCCAACTGGCTGGAGAGTTCAAACGGTGTTTCTGTCAACGGGGGAGGGGGATCCATTTCCTCGTGGTGGGCGCGCGGGCGGGCGAGACCTTTTTGGGTGCTTGGAGCCTTGGGTAGCTCTTGGTGGCCCCAATGGCGTTATTAGCTCTCGTTAGTGGCTCTGGGGGCCCTGGGCTGGGTTAGCGAGCTGTTAGAGCCTGGCTGCGTTACACGCCATGCGGAGGTTGGAGGTGTTTTCTCGTGGAGCATGATGAGCATCGAAAGAGGAGACGACTAGACTCCTGGACGAGGGGTGAGGATTCTGAAGGAGTACATAGAGTGTGAAGGGACAAGGGGACCACTTCAGGAGAGGAGCATTGGGGCCGTTGGGCTACCTATGGTGCTCCGTAAGGTAAGGTAGTTAGCCCATGGGAGCAAACCACAACACTCCCAGTCTCTCAGACGAGACAAGCGGCGGGTACATCGACCTCAACCCAGTTTAGCGTGGCCCCGTCGGTACCTGCGTCGGGGGAATTTCTTGCTGCAGGGTGCGGAGCGCGGATTGGATTGGATTGCCTTTTTACCCAATCTGACCAATGAACGCCGTGAATTGCTGTTGCTTCAGTGCGCCTTCCTGACTGCGTATCGGTGCCGCCCCTCCCAGCTCTCAAATTGGATGGGACATTGCATCCATGGGCCCTGGGGGCAGGAAAGAGAGCGACCATGCCTTCCTGTGTCGTCAAGCGTCAAGAACACAGGCAGGTGCTGACCTGACCAAGGAATCCCCCATTCTGATGCGCTTCTCTCACGCGCTCCCCCGTGCTCTACCAAGGCAAGGACTAAGGAAGGCACGGCGCCCCTCGATTATCGGTACCTGCCTTTCTTACCACTCATTGGATCTGTAGGTAATAGACCTGCGTCCGCTGCTGAATTCCCGCTTCCCAAGTTCCATGTCTTCATCTCTTCACACCATTCAGTAATCATCACCACCTTGCTTGCGCCATCCAGCCTGGCAAGAATAGGAACAATCTCCTGTCGGCGCAACTACAGAGTAGCAAATCTCGAATTGCATTACACTGCGCACTGCACTGACCTCATCCCGATCCCCCGCCCATCTTACCTTCACCTCCACTGGCATAATTACACATTACGGATACAATACACTCTTCCAATTGTGGTCGCGGTCCCAAGTCCACCCATCCAATCCAATCCACGACTGCCCAGCTTCAGCTCCAGACTCGAGCTCTCAATTGTTTGCACTTGCTTGACCGTAATTATCTGCACACTTGCACTTTTACTTGCGCTTCTACTGCCCGCAACGCACCAGTGCCATTCCCTGTTTCTTTCCCAGTACACGACCCGCATCTGGCCCTTTCTCTACTCGTCCCGCCTGGGTCCTTTCTCACCCTCACTTAATTACACCATCCCCTCCCCTCGTCGACATTTCGGCCAAAATCCTACCGTCGCCCGTCCAGTCCTTCCTGTCCTCGTCCTTGTCCTCAGACTTGCGCGGGTCACGGACACAAGACCCTCCACTCTCTACTTACTCCAGTACCTGACCTCCCCACGCGGCCACGCCTCTTCGTCCGATCTCACTTTACCACCGCCCGACTGGAAACTCCTCCTTCCGTTCGACCATCCGTCCGACGTTTGACTTGCGGTCCTCCCATTCAATTTCTCCTCCGTCTGTAGGAAAGCATCTTGCGCCTGCTTTTCTTTTCTTTTCGTCTGCGTCTGCGCCTACTACGCCTACGCCAACTCCTACGCCTCTTCACTGCTGACGCTGCCGTTCCACGAGAATAGCAACGACGCATCTACACTAGCTCCAGCCATCGGCTCGGCACTCCATTCGTAAGTGCATATAACGGTGACGATCCTGCGTCCACTTCATCACTGCCCTCTTCCTACCCCTATTTGCTGCAAGACCGCCCCTCCTTTTTGCACTGCACCACATGCAGACGGCAGATCTCCTGCCTCATCGTCTGCCGTTGTATCGCAGCCAACCAGACGACGAGGACCGCTGGCTGGGGACACCCACGTCTCTAGAACTCGACTTGGGGAGCCGCCTTTCGCATTGGTTCCTGTCCTGTTCCCGTTTGGTCTGACGCGACTTTGGCTTCTTCTCTCCGTCTCCAAACCCCTTCCTGACTGCCATCTCCCTGTCACACCGTGCAGGCGCTGCCCAGCACAATACCAGCTCCTCTCCGTTTCGCTGCGCTGCACCCGCTGCAAGACCCTCTGCGGTTGGCTCGAGAGGGGCCTTTGAGCGGCTGGCAATTGCGCCCGACCCAGGTTGTCGTTGCTTGGTAGCTAACCTCATTTTACCAGACACTCTTTTCCGTCATCGTCCCATTCTCCCATCATCCCCCCCTTTCCACTCTTTCCGGGAGGGTACCGATTCCCGTTCTCTTACCACTTACAACGAGCACGCAAACAAGAGTTAGCCTAGGCAAGATCACAGGCCTGTCCGGAAAAATCGACTGCCAACTGGCTCCTCAACCCTCCAATTCCGACATCTAAGCCACCGTGCTATTCGACATCCTCTCGATAAGCGGTCCACACCTCCGCTACTTCCACGCAACCTATTTACGTCCTCCATAAACCGAACAAGCGCAACGGGCAGCTAGCATTGTGGTCGCATATGCTGCTTGTCCACTCCGTTTGCGGCTTCCGACTCTGAAACCTTTATTTTATGCTGAGGACCCCAGATAATGAGCCAGCCCCGTCGCTCTAGCTTCGGTATGCTTCTCAGACGTTCCAAGTCCGGCGACCTGGGGAAGGGTGGTAAGAAAGCCCAAGCCCTTCGCGAACAGCAGGAACGCGAACTCGAACGTCAGCGTCAGGCTGCAATCTCCAGAACTCCTCCCAAGCTTCCCGAGTTCTACAAGGCCAATGACCAGCTCTCCAACTCCATCCCCTCTGACCTGCGTGCTGAGGAGGCCTCAATCATGTCGGATCACACCATAGGTACCGCCTACTCGACCAGGCCTTCCATGGAACCCAGTCGCAGTATCGTGGGATCTGTGCCGCCTATGCCTCCCATTCCCGCGAATGCCTACGATCCCTATGCTCGCACCGAGAGCATGACGCACCGCGGACGCTACAGCTATGCTAGCAGCGCAATCAGCACTGTCAACAGCCCTAGAAGGGTTCGGAGAAGAAAGGATCCCACTCCCTTCAAGTGAGTCAACTCCCGAGACATTGTCATACCTGCCCTTTCTCTACAGCACACTAACTCTCTTTGTGTAGCGTTCTCGTCATTGGCACCCGAGGCGCTGGAAAGACGTCTTTCCTCGAATTCCTAAAGACTGCTCTGGCACTCCCGCCGAAGAAGCGATCCCGCAAGACCGAGGTTGAGGAGGAACCCGCTCCCAGATCTCCTCCTTCTGGCAACTTCATCCCTCACTATCTCGAGACGGAGATTGACGGCGAGCGAATTGGTCTCACACTTTGGGATTCGGAAGGCTTGGAGAAGAATGTTGTTGATCTCCAGCTTAGGGAGATGTCGGCCTTCCTTGAGAGCAAGTTTGAAGAGACCTTCACCGAGGAAATGAAGGTGATTCGATCGCCTGGTGTACAGGATACCCACATCCATGCCGTCTTCATGGTTCTCGACCCAGCTCGTCTCGACCGCAACCTGGCGTCAGTCAAGGGCGGTGTGTCGAATGGACACAATGGCAAATACGCCCCTCCGGCTCGCATTTCGGGAGGTCTTGACGAGGATCTGGATCTGCAGGTGCTTCGTACCCTTCAGGGCAAGACTACCGTCATTCCCGTTATTTCCAAGTCGGACACGATCACGACTAAGCACATGAATGTCCTCAAGAAGACCGTTTGGGAAACCGTCAAGAAGTCGGGACTGGACCCGCTTGAGGCACTTGGCCTCGACGAGGATGATGACTCGACCAGGATCGAAGAGGAAGAAGAGGCTGTAACTGACGAAGAACACGCCGATTCTCACGACGAGGACGACTTCCCTATCCAAGGACGGGAAGGTGTACCCTCCTCCCCCGGCTCCAAACGGCTTTCTGGATCCTCCATCCGTCAACATAAGGCTAAGCAGGAGGCTAAGGAAGAGGAAGTGCCATTCCTCCCGCTTTCGGTCATCAGCCCTGACCTGTACGAACCCGAGGTTCTAGGACGTCAATTCCCATGGGGTTTCGCGGACCCATACAACGAGGAGCACTGTGACTTCACCAGACTCAAGGACGCCGTCTTTAGCGAGTGGAGAGCCGAACTTCGTGAGGCCAGCAGAGAGCAGTGGTACGAGGGCTGGCGAACTTCGCGACTTAAGAATAGCCCGAATGCTCGCCGCCGATAGACCACTTGAGATTTGGTCCATGGGCATTGCAACTTGGACTGTCGATACCCTTACCTTTCTGAACCAAACAGCCCTTTTCGATGGCTGGCTTTACACCTGATTTCCGCACTTGTCGATGAGATTTGAGAGCACCGCGCAGCATACCCCCTTTTCCTCTGTCACATACCAATTCTTACGAACTTCTATGGTTGGAGGGCGCCCAAAATATGGCGAAATGACAGCATTATCAGCCCAACTTCGCATGACGAAACTCCTTGATATCCCTGTTGCTTTCTTACCTCGACGATAGCTCAGGCAAGATGACGACGTATACCAGCATTTCCGACTCGAGCAACCGGATGACACTAGCATCGCCAAGACGCCTGTCACGCACGAGAAGGATGCAAGACTTAGTTTATTGTACTTTTGGCACCGAAAATACGTTTCGCGGCTTCTTTACTGGCAGCGACCACCCTTCGCTTTACCAGGACTTTCTTTCCTTGTTCTTCTAACTTCGCTTCTTTAACGACATTCAAGATTCTGGGGACGAAAGAGTAGACTGAGTTTAGCGGCGGTTGTAATCAGTCACATTTGGTTGGAGAGCAGGTGGATAGAGAATGCCTACGATTCGATTCAAGCGGGCAGGAGAGATACAGGTTGAAACCAACCATTATGGTGATTCTCCGGGAGAGGCCAGCCGATAGCTGTAGGGCAGTCTTGATAGGGTCCGATGTTCTATTCACGAATTTTGATTTGTCTTCTTCATGACGAGATTGCTTGACTCGCTGCATCATAGATATTACTTACTTTCCTAAGAGGTAACAGCGAGTTTTATCTACCTGACCCTATTTCTCTCACGTCCGCCTATGAATACTTCAGAAATAAAGTAAAACTTGGGACAGGACTAGAGACGAATGTACTGACACCTTGAAAACTGCACACATGAGATTTTGAGGGATGCAACAGATGGTTAACTGGCGTCCTAGTGAGCTCACCCACGTCTGATGAAAAAGTGAGGTTTGCATTCGAATATCCCATGTCCATCCATGAACGCCTTCAGGTCTGCATATTACATGCTGCCAACAATATCAATAGCCAAGAATGTCCCCAATTCTCACCAATAACAATGATCTCGCATAATCTCACAACTGGATCCCCCTTTCCCCCTCATCCCATAAGGATACCTTGACGATGTTGAGACTTCAAGCACTCCGGATGTGATATATATAGGTAAAGTGAGAGAGAGAAAGAGGGGGGGGGGGAGGGTCTGCGCAAGTAGCTGCTACACCAGGCCAGGCCAGCCAGCCAACCTGGGTTTTTTTCTTCGTCGTCTACTACAACTCATCGTCTTCGTCGTCACTCTCCAGCGGCACGTACTCGGTATGCGTGGGCTCGCCCGCCGCGTCGACGTCGCCCTCCCTCCGGTCCGGGTTCTTTCCGCGGCTGATGAGGGCCAGGCGTTCCTTTTTACCGAGGGCGATACCGTCGAAGCCCGGGTAGAGATTCAAGTCGGCTCTGATTGATGTTTTTATGATTAGCTCCCGGGCATTCATTGTGAAGCGTGGATCCGTCAAGGGACGAGAGAGAGGGACAGCGAAACGACATACTTTAACAAATCAACTTTGAGATTCCGCGCCTTGTCGCGGATAGCTTGCTGGTCTCGCGGGTGATCGAAGACGCAGTCCTCCCTCTCCTCGAAGCTGTCGCCGCCGTAGCCGCCTCCAGGATTGCTGGCAGCAGCGATCTGGCGTTTCGCGATGAGTGCCCAGAGGCAGTTGTGGTGTTCTATGAGGCGGATGAGGCGGTGGGTGTCTTTGTCGGACCAGGGGACGCGCTGCTGCGGGCCGGCGCGGGACGCTGTGCGGCGGTTCATCTCGTTGATTTCGCGGAAGGAGGCGACGGTGGTGGCTGTGCTCGAGACGCTGCTTCGGGAGGCGGAGGTGGAGGCGGGAGCAGAGGAGGCTGGGGCGCTGGTTGGGAGGGAGGAGCGGGGGCGTCGTTGGAGGGCGGTTGTTGTTGATGATGAGGCGGAGGAAGAGGGCTGGCGTGGGCGTGGTGGTGCGGTTGAGGGGAGGGTTTTGCGTTTCGAGGGGGGAGGGGGCATGTCGCGGCGGTCGCGGGCGAGTTGGGCTCTTCGTTGGGGGTTCGGGTCGCGGTTGTCTTCTTCGAAGGGGTCGTCGGACTCTTGGGATTGTTGGGAGTGAGAGAGGGAGGTTTCGCGGGGGCGTTTCCTGCCGCTGTTGTTGACGGCCATGAAGTCGGAGGAGCGCGGGGCAGCGGTGCTGGGGCCGGCTTTGGCGGAGGAGGAAGAAGGTTGCGTACTGCGGATGATTGCGGTGCTGGGGAGGCCTGCGATGATGGCTGAGAGGTCGCTCGGCGCCGGGGAGGGGTTACGGCGACGATGGTCCTCTGCCTCTTTTTCGTAGTAGTCGTCGCCAATGCTGCCGTTGATGATGGGTTCGGCGGTGGCTCCGCGCTGAGAGCTGCGTTGGGATCCGCGCTGGGAGTTTGCTAGTGATGGAGATGGACGTGTGCGCGAGGGGTGCTCGCGGGAGAGCTTTGCTAGGAGTTGCACGTTTGACCGGGACAAGATGTCTTCGCGCCTGTAGTCGAGTCAGTATATTGGTTACGTATAGACAGTGTCTAGAGGAGGGCCGTACACGTCGTTGCGGACTATATCCTGTGGCGCGCTCGAGGGGAGGGAGTCCGTCGGAGAAGATTCCCTCGGCCCTTGCGGCGGGTCCTTCAAGATAACACTGAGTTCGTCGATCATCTTGCTGCACCAGGAGGAAATCTTGCCGATGAAGTCGACCGGTTCGTCGTCGGCTTCGTTCTGTGACTGATCAGGCGACCCCTCGAGCGGGAACATCTCGTCGAGGACCTGGATGGCATCATCCACGTTCTTGTCCACGATGGCGTCGTAAATTTGGTTTGCCCTCTCTGCGAAACGCTCCGCCATGCGGCCGTTGATGCCCCTGAACGGTCCATATTGGAGAGCCTCTTCCGCATCGACAGAGGATTCTAAACGCATGCAGAAAAGCTCCGCTGCGATGTCAGCAGGATTCTGCTGGTCGTCCTGCAAGGCCTTCAGGCTCGTAATCAGCCGCTGCGTGCGAATGTCGAGTGCAAGCTCGATGTCGTCTTCGGTAACGTGGTCGGCGTAGTCGTCGTATGGGCACAGCGGTGCGGGAAAGTCCTCGTCGAGGCGCTCGAAGATCTTCCAGACCCTATCAAAGTTGTCCTCCTTGCGAAGCTCGGCGTCGGATATGACGTTGAGTAGCGACGTGGCGTTGGCGCCGATGATGACGGCCCGCGCCTTCATCTGCTGCCTTTCGCTAATGTCCTCGATGCTGGTGAGGAGGTCGATGAAGAGCGCGTCGGTCTCCACGAAAAACTCGCGGATGCGGAACCAGTTGCCCCGGAAGACGGGCAGCAGCCGGTGCCAGGATTTGCTACCTGGTTTTGGGTTCCGGAGCAGTCTCGCTAGGGCTTCGGATTCGTGCCATAATGAGTCGAGCGCGTTCTCCTTTAGTTCTGCTTCTACGAGATCCTGGGATGCGTCATCTTCGATTTCGGATTTCTCCGACTCGTCGTCACTGCCGTCATCCTCTATTCCCGGTAGCTGTGAGAGTCCTGTTGTGTTCCTACGTCAGCAATTCATCGAGCGAAAGTGCAAGACGGATCGCACCTTGTGAAGCTCTCGGTGCTGATGAGCCCGGTGCTTCTGTGGGAGGGTTAGTGAAATGCGTCTTCGCAAGGGAGAGAGCGCAGCGTTGACGAACTTGAGAATAACGTGTATGCAGCAGTCATGTAGGCCGGGGTCGCATATCTCTGTGTGCCGGAGATGCTCTGCGATCCCATTTCTAGGGTGGTTGTTAACCTTGCACTTCAGATAATCCATTATGAACACAGATGAGCAGGACTCACCACTGTCGTTATCTTGGGGGTTGATGTCTCGCACAATCTCTTTCGCATTGAAGCGCGCAACTGGTTCGTTTCTGTACAGATCCTCCTGTTCCCTCTTCTCCACATCTTCCTCCCTTTCTTCCCGTTCTTCCGCCATCTCTCGCAACGTGGTGCTCGTCGGGGCGACCTTATCTCTTCCCCTACCTCGCGTCGTTGGCCGAGATGCAGCAGATGCAGGAACGGTGGTGGTCTCGGTGCTTTGGACGCGTTCCGTCATGTTTGCGCCGCCTGCTCGACGTCGTGTCAACCGCACAGAACGAGGGTCCTGGACATCATTTCCCGGAGACTCCGGAGCGCCACGGCCCGTTCTTGTGCGGGCCATGCTGTTTGACTCGTTATGTTGTTCCTGGAATGACTGGGATTGCTGCAAAGACGCGTATTTTGTTGGGGTTGGATAGGGATGTTGAGTTTCTTACTAACCGGATTCTCTAACCCTAACCCCGACGATGATCGGATTGGTGTATGTTGATCGAGGCGTGGGGCTTGACGCGTTCACACTGTGCTCTGGCTGCCTTAGGTGTCCATGCGCAAGCAACCGCGTCGCCTCTTTATTAGAAACAACAAGGTTTAAGCACCCCCTCTCCAACATATATATCTGTTTATTGGTTCAATTGTGGAAAGAAGAGCTGCGCCATGATACCTTATTATTTGGTAGACTCTCAGATAGATTTTTTTTGAAAGAAGATTCTGAAGGGCTTCTATTGCCTCACGTCATCATTCTAGGCATGATTTCAGGTAGGTACATGATGAAAGAACGGCAGGTTCATCACGAAGCGCAGGCTTTCACCGTCACCCGCCGGTCTCACTGGAGAAACTTCGAGCCTATCGTTTGCATTTGACGAAACGTTGTTGGCGTTGTCCACTTCTTCGTTTGTGGCGAAAAACAAGTTGGCTTCAGCTGCGCATGCCTATTCGGGCACTAGAAGCTGTGCACCTCATGCTGCCTGTGCCGACTTCTTAGCTCAGATGCCAGGTGGGCCTGTCTCACGTTGATATACTTTGATGAAGTCCATGATGTAGAACTCTTCTCCAGTGTATGAATATAGAATCTTGTGTGATATTCATACGATTGCGAGGGTACTGATGTTGGAGCTTTGGACCGTTCAGTTGTGGTTAAAAGCTCGTGTGGCGACGAACGGCCGTATAAGTGGGTTCTGCCTCTCGACTACAGGCAAACACAGAAACACACTGAATGAGAGCACTCTTTGCGCTTCTCTCAATTGAATCTCATTATTTCCGAAGATCTACCGGGATTAAATGGGCACCAGACGAAGAAGCACTCTCTACATATGGATGCACTATGAATTGTTCGAACAGACTCGATTGAGGACCCTCACTTGAGGCTACGGTTATTGCAGAGGCCCAACCCGTTCGGAGAGAGTCTTATCTTCAGACCCTATCACTGCTGCTTCTTTTCCAAGTTCTTGAGAGGGACATCCTTTCCGAAGAGGCCTAAAAGGTAAGCCGTCCTGGTCAGACAGAGAAGGGCCTGGGATAGTTAGCACAGCACATAGCTAGAAATAGAAGGGTGGTCGCACCGTGACACCCACGTTGCCCCAGGCCATGGAATTCCAGCTCGCCACGTCGAGGAAGCGATCGAGGCCCATAACGTGATAGCATACGTAAATGTGACCAAGGTCGGCTATCCAAAGAGCAACGAGGTAGCCGCGCACAACCTTTAGCTCGTTGGTGAGGTTGAGCACGGCTAGCCCGACCATGGCCATGAGCAGGTATATATTTCCGAGCTGGAGGGCCACGAGACGGGCATTATCAGATTCCGCAGTTGGCACGGCGGCCGAGATGGCGCCCTGTACGATCTGCTCGGATATGAACCAATCCGGATTTATAACGGCCCCTAGGAAACCGCCGACGCTTTTGAGAAAACGCGCATCAGCTCAGTGGCGGGTGAGAATTGGATTGTCAGGGTGGCGAGAGAGTGTGAGAACGAACGTACAGTGAGATGGGCTCGAAGACGGTGAAGACCAGTCTAGGGAAGGTTGGAAGAGCCGCAGCCGCCGCCATGGTGAAAGTAGTGGCCGTTGGTACCGGTCAGCTAATGAGAAGTGGGATGGAGGGGGATTGAAAGCGGTGCAACAACAAAGGTGGTCACCGAACCCTTGTTGATGTTCTATGGAAGGGACAGGTGTTTCTCGAAGACGGAGGGGCGGTTGACAGGCAGGCAGGGCAGGCAGAATTTTGAGGCCAGAATGGGGGCCGAAGAAGGCGAATAAAGGTAGGGAGGGGCAACAGGCAACGCAATTGATCAGACCGAGAAGCTGTGAGACGTTCTATCAGCTCGGTGGAGGGTTTGTGGTGTGGTGGTCACTGTAATGTGTCATGCAAGAATTCGGAGAGGCGGAGGCGGAGGCAGAGACCACGGACGGCGGTAAATCGGAGCGAGACACATGTCTTGGGTACATGAGGTAAGGTACACTGGACGGATGCCGTACGGAATAATAGGTAGTGAGCAACCCAGACCATGGAAGCCGTAACACAGGTGCTGAGGAAGATGCCTCTAAGGTTGCCGGCTTCGCACCGAGCTGGGTTGAAGCTACGCAGGCAATGGAAGCAGGTTACGCAGGTTGGCAGGACCCAATTCAGGCTCAGGGAAAGGGAGATCCATCATCCTGTGAACCTAAGGTGGGACGAGAGGTGTGCACGGTGAGCCATCTAGTCAGTGCCTTGCCCGACTTGCCAATGTCTGTCAAACTCAAGGTTAATCAGTCCATTGCCTGCTGGCAGATTTCTCTTGCTAAAGTTGGGCAGCCATCAACTCTTTTGTCCTTACACAGTACCTTGATAGGGTAGATAGATGTATGGACCTGCTGTCTGCCTGGTATTGAGGCATCAAGGTATCTTCTATTACCTACAAGTTACCTTTGTGACATATGCGTGGTCATGACATGTGTATTGAAGAGAGAGGCAAAGAGACCGAGACTGACAGAGAAAGCTGCGTGCCGGCGCGGAGAAGAAGAAACGGGCTTTCGCTGGGCAGCAGCCAATGATAACCACAAAGTATTAAAGTTACTTGGCACACCCGCCGCCGCTGCTGGTTGGTATCAGCAAATACCGCAAACCCAACCGCGCTAGTCTCATTTGCCGCTTCTACGGTGGAGAATCTTCACGTGGAACTTCCATCGTTGGGCAAACCTTCTAGGAGGAGCCCTGCAGCCATGGTGCCTGTGGTGAGCCCGTCTGCCTGTCAAGCCGGGCCCTGAAATGCTGCAAGCCAATCCTTAGCTGCTTCACGCTTTACTTTACTGATAGATGCCCTTACCTACCCACGCTACCTTACCTCCCGTCTTCCATTCCTAATGCTCCCCTCCGCCTTTCGGTCACCTCAGTCACTGCCCGTCTTTGCTACCTGAGCAAACTCGTTGAAGACTCGAGTCCAAGTCTTGTCTTCGTCTGCTCCTCCTCCTACTCCTCCTCCTTCTCCTCCTCACCATCCTGCCCGCACGCCGCCGACTTTACACCCATCCATCCCGCGTCCATTGTCTCTCCTTCTTTCCTTCGCCTCTCCCCTTCACTCCTCTTCTCTTCGCCTGTGTTGTTTCCTACCTCAAATTTTAAACCAAATGCCCACTCCGACTTTCCTAGCCCACGATGGCCTACATCGAGCCACGCCTCATCCACCTGCTGAACGATTCCACCACGCCACAGCTCGCTCACGCTGATCTGCCGCCCCTCCGTCTAGCCTTCTCTCGTCCCTCCGAGAGGCCCTTCCCACTCGAGCCTGAGACCACCCATCGCGAGGAAAACATCAAAGGGCCCTCGCTCGCCACCACCCACGGAGCCCCACCACAGAATCCCGGCACCCTCGACGACAGCTTCTCCGCACGAGATTCACGAAAGGATGACGAACCACCAATCGATCGGGGAGCAGTCAACAGCACCGCGCACTTACAATTGAGACTACTCTTGGGCGACGACCGAGATAATGTAGACTCCTCCTTTTCTCTGAGCAAGATCCTCGATGAGGTGCCCGAAAACAAAGATGATTCCGCAAATAAGAAGAGGCACCGCAACGTTGCCACCAAGGATGACTTTGTGCAGCTACCACAGCCGGTCAAGAAACAAAAGCCAATTCAACCCCAAGTCATGCCGACTATGCCGCCTATCATCAATGGCTTACACGAACCTCCCCCCGATGCTGCGCTGTTCCCGCCCATTGCCTCCAACGACTTCAACGAGCCCGAAAGCAACCAGCTCAAGCCGCTTCGAGATTTCGCGCCTGTGCCCGAGGAGAAGGATATGGAAATGGAGGTTGAGAAGACCGCTGAGGCTGACTCGACAACATCCAAGAACTCGAAATCTAGTGGTGGCAAAACAAGGAAGAAGGCGATGAAGCCGAGGCGCAAGTGGTCCGAAGCTGAGACAAACCACCTACTGCTGGGTGTCAATCGGCACGGCGTTGGAAAGTGGACCGATATCCTTGCAGACCCCGACTTCAACTTCAATGACCGAACTGCGGGCGACTTGAAGGACCGGTTTCGCACCTGCTGCCCGAACGAGTTGCGCAGGACTAACAGCGAACCGAAGATTACAACTGCTGCTGCTGCGCCGCCAACGACTCCAACCGAACCAAAGGCCAAAGCTAAAACGGGTCTGCTGTCGGAAAATATACTCATAGCCCAAGATGAGGCTGCAGCTAGCGAATCGTCCCAAATGACACAGGCTGATTTGGACGCCTTTCCTAAGATGAAGAGGAGTAGGGCGCACCGCAAGAAGCTGGAGGATTTAGCGGAGCTAGGAATACACGGTCCATTCAAGAAGTCTCACAGAAGAGAAAGACGACCTTTTACCGACCAAGACGACAAGCAAATACTCGAAGGGCTGGACAAATATGGACCAGCCTGGACCAAGATCCAGAGAGACCCACGCTTTAGTCTGTCTGGAAGACAACCGACCGACCTAAGAGACAGGGTTCGGAACAAGTACCCCAGCGTTTATGCCAAGATTGAGAAGGGACTCTTCCAGCCCCAGGACGGGCGAGGGGGCGATACCCTCGAACCAACGGTTAGCATGAGCATCTCGAATACTCTGCAGCCCAACAGGCCACCTCCCATGGAGGCAGCATTGAATAGAACCAACTCAAAGGAAGACCTCCCTAGGTGGCCTTTGTCTGTCGTTGACAATGGAGAACTGCCTGCCAGTCAGCAGGCCTTCGACTTTGGCGAAACGACTACGGCGACATTCATGGGAAGTGCGGGAGAGATGGACATCTCTCGCCTACTGCTGGACGACTCACAAGTCGCCAGCTCGACCGCGATATACGCACCCGATCAGACTTCTGAATCTACGTCACCACAACGTTCCGCTGGGTGTTGGAATCTCAATAGCCCTTCGGCAGCTTGATCTTCATCCTGCTGCGTCTTTTCAGCGGCCTAGTACACTTGCTAGGTTTCGACCTCTTGCCTTGTGTGCAGGAATTTGTGTCGAACATTAGAATCAAAAATGCTACGTATTGTTTGCTTACGTGGCGTACATGGAGAATTGGGGTGCTTCGCTACCCGAACGGTCGTTTCTGGACATAGATCTATACCAATTGGGTTTCCGTAATCACATTTTGGAGATACGGCGCATAAACAGATATCTTTGGCCAAGGATGGACAAAAGGGGTTTTGGAGTGAATTAGATGGACTACGGTCGTTTCTGTGCAAGAACGAGTTAGTGTTCCGGACAGGCTATCTGGATAGAGTGTCGAGATTCGGGCACTGTGAGCTAGAAAGCACCAATCGCTAGGTGATTGTATTGAATATAGTGCACATGACCGGTGCACACCATGAACCTGGAATCTTTCACGCCCCGATATGCCAATGATGGAACTTGAATAGTCTCGGACAAGAGGTGCCCATTAAGTATTGTGCTTTTGGTGGGGCCGCTGTCATCGGCCTTACCAGCAAAGCCCGTGTTGCCATGCGCCGGTCGTGGACGGATCCACCAACCGCCGAATTAACGGAGCACGAGAGCCAAGTGGATCAAGCACACGGACCATCTCGCTTAATCGAGTTGACCACTGAATGTCGCCGGATTATCGAAGCCCCGCTCCTGCTTTTGACCGCCCAGAGACACAAGTGTAGGGTTCGAAAAACCTACGCCTCACAGAAAATTTCCAGCCCGATCCCTCTGTACTCCACGTCCCGAGTTGAATCTGAGTATCTCGACTTCGACCTTCACACCCACCGACCAGATACCCCCATAGGCTAATCGGCAGTCAGACAAAATGGGCAAGGGACTGTAAGTACTTGATACCCAATCCTCATTTTCAATCTCAATATTGTCATCGACGCGATTCGGGATTCTGTTTGTCGCTCGAGCGATTTTGACTTGCCCGCCGCGACGAACTGAAGGAAAATTTCGAAGACAATATTCCAGATCCTGATCGAGCCCATTCTCGACACGAACAAATATTCTGACAATGCCCTCACAGCAAGAAGCACCAGAAGCGCCTTAGCGCGCCTTCGCACTGGCTCCTGGACAAGCTGTCCGGAACCTACGCTCCCCGCCCTTCGGCCGGTCCTCACAAGCTTCGCGACTGCTTGCCGCTGATCGTCTTCCTCCGCAACCGCCTCAAGTACGCCCTCAACTTCCGTGAGACCCGCTCCATCCTCATGCAGCGCCTCATCAAGGTCGACGGCAAGGTCCGCACCGACATGACCTACCCCGCCGGCTTCATGGACGTCATCACCATCGACAAGACTGGCGAGAACTTCCGTCTCATCTACGACACCAAGGGCCGCTTCACCGTCCACCGCATCCAGGCCGAGGAGGCCGAGTACAAGCTCGGCAAGGTCAAGCGCGTTCAGCTTGGCCGCGGTGGAATCCCATTCTTGGTCACGCACGATGCGAGAACGTGAGTTTGCACACTCTGCACTGGTTCTGTCAGACATCATTCAGCCGTTGGATCAAGCTTTGGTCGATTCGTCATCACCCAAAATGCTCTCTTGTTCAATTCCTGGAATAAGACTTCCCAATCATATGAAATCCCCTTCCCTTTTGAAGTGGGAGGGAGGCGGAATTGCAACGTCAAAAAGAAGAATATTGGCCGATTACGAAGAAAAGAGATTGGAGCTATACACATCCGACGGCTGTAATGTATCACCCCGTCCGAACCCTCTTTGCTGACTCTTTTATCTCTATAGCATCCGCTACCCTGACCCCCTCGTCAAGGTCAACGACACTGTCAAGATCAACCTTGCCACCGGCAAGATTGAGGACTTCATCAAGTTCGACACCGGCTCCATTGCCATGGTCACCGGCGGTCGCAACATGGGTCGTGTCGGTGTCATCACCCACCGTGAGCGCCACGACGGAGGTTTCAACATCGTCCACATCAAGGACGCCATTGACAACACCTTCGCCACCCGTGAGTCCAACGTCTTCGTCATCGGCTCCGAGAAGCCCTGGATCTCCCTGCCCAAGGGCAAGGGTGTCAAGCTCTCCATCGCCGAGGAGCGTGACCGCCGCCGCGCCAACGCCCTCGCCGGCAACTAAGCGTCTTGTCTTCCTCTTCTACGAAATGATGAAGGTTGCGCATGAGTCTGCTGCGTGTGCTGCAGCCAGGCTGCTCCGAAAGGTGACACCTCGGCTGCATTGCTACACACTTTCGTGAATGTCTCTTCTCGGGGACGGAAACGGTTATTTGGGTCGGGCAAATGGGATTGAGCATGATCAAAAAAATTACGGAGTCTAGGGCTGATTTTAGAGTTGTCGGCTTCGACTACCCTGCAGATAGCTGCGGCCAATACCAAGCCATTGAAGGTCACTCTTCCGCCCAATCTTGAGTTCCCATATGCTTCGCTCCGTGATGTTGTCTTGTGAGAACATCGTATCCTACCTCCACCTGGGAGACTGCGACGTAATCACGTACCATTGCACTCTGACGTATTGTTGTCCGCCGCGTAACGTCTCTTGGTGTCTACTGATTCAGAACTGGCCACATAGAAGTGAAAACCGTACAGCACAGGCTTTCCAAGTCTTGACAATTAACGTAACTCGAAAAACATTGTGGCTAGCGTGCAGACCCATAAGTTCCACAAAGTGATTCGATGTATTCACTTTCGCAACGTCCTCCTGGGAATCCATTGGAGGCTTTCCCCCCATGCAGCTTGCCCTCGGAGATAACATCTGCCAGACAAACAATCATGAACCCCAGCAGCACGTCCTTAGCTCGAGGCATCAGCCATAAACCACTCATCACCCCAATATATACCTGCCCGCTAGGTAATTCTCATCCTACCATGCACCGACCTTTCCCCATGCTCAACTCCCAAGGAAAAGGGAAGCGCGGGTTATACTTCGTCAAAGCACACAGCCATCGAGAGGAAGCGACAAAGTAGAGCGAAGGACAGAAAAGGGCCGCAGTTACATCGCCAAGTTTCCCGAGGGGCCCAAAACCAGTCGACCACTAAGCCCACACGGAAAACCACGACCGCACAGTAGGTAACCGGTCTCGTGCCCTCTGCTGCATGCTTGTATGACGCAGGCTCACCCCGGCAGTCCACGTTTGGTCTACAGCCACGAGATCGTTTGGACATAGGTACTGTGTAGCATTCTTACACACACACACACACACACACACACACACACACACACACACACACACACACACACACTCACACTCACACACACTCACTCACTCATTCTCCAAGGTGTGTGTGCATGTCTACCTCGAACCTGCTGTGGATGATTGCGGGGGAGGAGAAGGAGCGGGTACCAATTCCCGGGCAGCAGGATGCGAGTAGGGTAGCTACCTTAGGTAATTTTGTCTACCCCAGTGGAAGTTCTCACCGTGACCACCTCAAGTCAATTGGTCATTGTATTACGAAAGGGGGCAATAAATCTTCGGTTTTGCTGTTGAAGGGGTCCTGCATATTTCTCCCCGAGGAGGAAGAAAGGGGGGGGGAGGGAGGGAGGCGAGATTCTCGTCCTCTTTGAGAATGTTTCGATACCCCGACTTTTTGGGGCCTGATCCTGATTCTGGGGTAAAAGGGCTGTCTGAGAACTTAGGTACAACGATGGTGAGCAGAATGGCTCTATGGAGGTTTCGTCGTAACTCACAATCGTGGTTTGCAAGCCCGAGAGGCGAAGCATTTCCAACGAGGCGGCTTGTGCCTGAGCCAAAGAAGTCACTACAGCTGATCCCAAATCAACCTGCTGACACGGTTTGCCGGTTTGTATTAGAAGAGAGGGGGACGACACGGCCTCCGTCTCTCATGATTGTTTACTGCTCAACGTCTGAGCTGGCGAACAATGTAGATATTTCATGTTTTGAGTTCTTCGTGACCTGCACTGAAGGGCAGCTGAAGCATCCGCAGTATCTCCCGGCTACCAACTTCTCGTTGTCTCAATTTTTTTACGTTTGTGGAGGTGGAACATTACCCCCGCCATTGTGGTCACTCAACCCACCAGCAGAGTCTAGCCTTGGAGCCGACGTGCTACCAGCCTACCACGCTGGGCGGTGAACGAAACATCAGACTAACCTGCTAAGTCCCTCAAGACTCTTGGGGCAATCTTGAAAAGACATCAATACTCCGGTTTGAAGTCCAGTGGAACACGTTGAAGGTTCAAAACGAGGCATAAGCGTTGTTGGCTGAAAGCTACCTTGGTTCGTTTCGTTCAATGGGATGGACCCTGAACACGCCCAGCTAGGCTTTGGCAAGAAAGGAACACCACCAGGTAGGCGGCGAACGACATGCCTTCCGGCGACTTTGCCGCCTTATGTGAGACACAGGCAACCAGTCAGGAGTGTGCGGGGGAATACGATACACTCCCCCGGGCACGGGGCGTTGTTTCTTTGCTTTGTTCTAGAATCCGCATATTTGTACGCTACGGAGACTCCACGATATGTGGACCGTCAAGCAGGCGTTCTCGTGGTTGGCGGCAGCTTCGATCAGGGTTCGGGATTTCCATGGCGCGTTGAGATTGATCAAATCCACCAGAGCAGGCAGACATTATTAGGCGAAATTCCAAGGCTATCATACCATCGCTAGCTGACACTGATAATAGCGCGGATTACGACTGTGAGATTCTCTGTGATGCTGATTGACTCTCGGTAGAGGAATTATGAGAAAGAAAAGCCCTGCGAGAGGCTCTCCTGGCCTGGGCATTCCGACTTCCGACCCCGGCCTGAGCACCTGGAAGTCCATGCAGCATCCAGGCTACCTTGATTTAGACCGATGATCGAATCTCATCGATTCTTGGGGTCGCATGGCTAGCAGCAAGGGGGGTTGCGTTACAGGCTTGCGGCGTGGGAGGCACGCATCCACTGATGCACTGAAAATCCTTTGGGCAGGTCGAGAGGAGGGCTGAGCGGGCGTTGAAAGAGTGGCGGTTTGTCATCGGAAGCCTCACACTTTGGAGATGAGAATTCCTTTTCGTGACTATTAAACATTCCGCTGTCTTGCTTGCAATAGAAGAGAACAGTATGTCTCATTGCTTTAAGAGAGTGTAATGGTTCCGCAAAGCCATAGTCTCACCGCGTGTGACGTCCGGTCTGGGGTATGCACCTCGGACGCATCGCTGACATAACTTGAACTCTGAATGATGGTGTCTCCAAATAAATAGTAGCTGAGGTGGTGGTCGGGGTCAATGTAATTGCTTACCACCTCCGCCCGCAACGAGTACTGGGGACACCATTGAGCTTATGCCAACCTGTCTTCTGGAGGTCAGATGACAGAAATGTCATCTACTGCAGATGGAACGAGAGGCTGAGCTGCTTTGCCTGACTGCTTCGTCGCATACTGTGTAGGCATCTACCTACTCAGTACTACTGTGGGTTCTGTTATCTTGACCTCGGAAAACCTCCGTGTCGGCGCTGCCATCGGGAACGGACTTCCGGGGCACACTCAGTGGGTGGGACAGCCAGCACCCAAGGTCCTCATCTCGGAGCACCTCTTCGTACAGTTTTCGCTGGAAGACTGTCAGACCCCATGCCCGCCCTTGATCCACCAGGCGAGTGCGACCTCGCAGTGGATTGCCTTCTGTGAGAGAATGTCCAGAAACCTGCATTCATATCCACAGGTGAGGAGGCATATTCCAGCCGGCAAGCGGCACCCTCACGAATGTCTTGTTTGGCTGGCCCCGGAAGCCAACGGCCTGCGTCCTCGGCGGTCACCGTAGGCCACCGTTACCCCTCGTGCGAGACCCACTGCGGACTCTACACCGACCAGGCCGGCACGCGGGGGTTCGTCAGAAATCAGGGCTCTTTTGTCGCTCACAAGAGGCTGGAAATCGTGGTCATGGGAAGAGATTGAAATTTTCTCGGCCCCCTGTACCCATGCTGTTCGTTGGGGGTACGCCAGCTCGCCTGCATTTTCTGCGTCAGTGGCATCTCGAGTCTGTCAGTCTTCATCAGTATTGCCCTTCTCCGTCTCACCGTCGTAAAACTCAAGGGCAGCAGGGCACGAAGTCCGTCAGCCTTCTGAACTCGACATTCGATTCGCTTGTCAGTGGTAATTTGTGGCTGCCGTTGCCGTGAACTTCAGTTACGTCGGTGAGAAGTCCAATTCAAAGAGTGGGATGCTGTTGGTAATCAGATTTCCAGTAGACCAACTGCGGAAGGTTGTTGCTGCCCCCCATCCATCGTAGCTTGAGCCACCCCACGAAACGGGGGTCACACCTGCATCACAACCCAGCATCAGTTCCTACTGATGACGTGAAAGGCTCTACCTTGGTCCATTATCGAGCTCGTGTCCATGCTCACTCAGACCTTCGATGCTGGCCTCCTTTTTCGCATCAACTCCGATGACACTGTTTCTGTTGCCGATTAGTTCATTTTCGAGCCCTCAGTCACCCAGCGTCGCCGAGAAACGCTGAGCTACACCACGCCCGGAGAGATCGCGAATCTGTATCGAACCTGTTCGTCTATCTTCGCCTTGTCGCTCCGCGGGGAAACATACCGTTCACCGAGAACATCGACGACTTCGGATTGTTTCAGCTTCGGCATTTTCCCCGCCTGTCCCCGGATCCAGTCCTCATTGTAGTGTCTTTACGGAGTAGTAACAACATGGCAAATCCAAGCTCGCCGCTCCACATGGAAAGCTTGCCTGGACCGGTGCTAGTCAAGCGAGGTATTGCAAAGTACCTCATCGTGGAAAAGTCCAGAGTCTTACCCCCGCTGACAACTCAGGGCTACCACCTTTGCTCACTCGCTAGCCATGCTTTCGTCTTCCTAGCCCGCCGGCTCTAGACTTCTTGACTTTTTGGGCCTGTTTTCACCTCCTCCAGTGTCTTGATTGGTTGCAAGAACGTCGTCTCGCACCCACTCCATCTGGCTTGTCTGCACCTTGTTCCCAATGTGGGATGCGGTACGCCCAGGTACTTGACGTCTGGGTCATGCTCTCAACTTCTTCCACAAAAAATGAGCAGAGGCATCGTTGTTAAAGGCGAAGGGCCCCGTTGTCATCCACCATACCCACTTGCCCCAACACTCAGCTTCTTAGCTTGCTTCGTCGGCGATTGCGACATTACCCGTTGATTGGGATATGTGGTCGACGATTTCGCTCGCTTCCTGATTATAAACACATCGTCTTCCTCTTCTTGCTAGATTCACCGTCCCGACTCTGGTTGCCACGGACTCGTTTTCGCGCTATACCTGGACGCTTTTGGCAAAGGGCCATTCGGTAGATCCCTGTATCGTCATCATTTGACAAACTGATATCTGGTCGACTTTCACATCGTCCTATACTCCGGACATCAGGAAACCCTTTTCACAATTCACAGTGCGATTCGAAGTTATTGGCACAAAATCAGAAGTAGCGCAGGCCGATATCAACCTCGAACGCCGACGCAACCCACCACTAAGCCCTGTCCAGTCCAGCATCTTACCCTGGTCGACCTCTTGGCCAATAACAGACTTTCTCTTCGAGGAATCCGATTTGTGTCCGTGTAGATGGCTCTCATCCCCTGCATGCCGGCCAAACTCTCTGCGAGGCCCCTCCTGAGCCATGGCTTGAGGGGCCGACTCGCTGGGCCCGCTCTCCATGCCGGTCGGAGCTTTTCGACCACGACCACCCGGCGAAGCATCCCCCGGGCCAGCTCTGAAGGTTCGGCCAACACCTCGCAAAGTGGTTGGCATGGTAATTCAGTATGGGCTGTTGCTTTAGCCGCCGGTGCCGTTGGCTGGGGTCTTGCTAGTTCGACAAAGGACAATTCTGCCACCGCTGGCTTTCTTCCTCTCGGTAGCGGCCTGCTTCCTATAGACGGTCTGTCTCGCCCTGTGACTTATGCAAGCATGGCCGAAATGGAGCAGGTATTCGCATCCTATCATGAGAATGACCTCCGCCTCTAACTTGGTGTGTAGGCCTTGAAGGAAATTCGAAAGGAGCTGGGTGGCGAGGATATCATCTCCACGGATCCCGACGACTTGCATGCTCATGGGTATTCTGAATGGTCCTCGACCAATCCTGATGGCCTTCCGGTTGCCGTCGCATACCCGCGATCAACAGAGCAGGTGGCGACGATTGCACGAGTATGCTTCAAGTACAACGTTCCCATCATTCCTTACTCGGGTGGTTCCAGCCTGGAAGGGAACTTCTCGGCACCATACGGAGGAATCAGCGTCGACTTTGCCTTTATGGACCAGATTCTCTCCTTCAATAAGGATGATATGGACATTGTTGTTCAGCCGAGTATCGGATGGCAAGACTTGAACGAAAAATTGGCAAAAATGGAGAGCGGTCTCTTCTTCCCTATCGACCCTGGTAAGCCAAAATTAGCGCAGGATCTTCCATAAAAACAGGTATTTAGGACTGACGACAAAACAGGCCCAAGCGCAAAGATTGGCGGAATGATCGGTACAAATTGCTCAGGGACCAACGCTGTTAGATACGGAACCATGAAGGATTGGGTAATCAACCTTACCGTTGTCTTGGCAGACGGAACTGTGGTCAAGACTCGGAGACGACCAAGGAAGTCTTCCGCCGGCTACAATCTGAATGGACTGTTCGTAGGATCTGAGGGAACACTAGGCCTTGTAACTGAAGGTGAGTCGGAACAGGCAAATGACCTGATCCAGCTTGTTACTGCTTCCATGAGTATTTGTTGACCGCTTCCAGCAACCCTGAAGCTCACTGTTGTGCCCGAAGACTTTTCGGTCGCTGTGGTTACATTCCCCAGTATCAGAGACGCTGCTGCGGCTGCAGCCGAAGTCATGCGGAATGGTATTCCTGTGGCTGCGATGGAAATCATGGACGAGGTCCAGATGAAGGTCGTCAACTTGGGTGGCGCAACAGCACCTCGCGTTTGGCAGGAACTCCCGACCCTGTTCTTCAAGTTCTCCGGTACCAAAGCCGGTGTCAAGGAGAACATTGGTCTCGTTCAGAAGATCACCAAGAATCACAAGGGCGGTAACTTCGAGTTCGCAAAGGACGCGCTCGAGCAGAAGTTGCTTTGGTCTGCCCGGAAAGAGTCACTGTGGTCAATGCTGGCCCTTCGTAAGGACGGTGAAGAAGTTTGTGAGTAGCTTGCCCTATGTCTTGGTCAGTATGAGCATCCTGAGACTAACGATGTGTAGGGAGTACGGATGTCGCTGTTCCCTTCAGCCGTCTGGCAGACCTCATCGAGATCAGCAAGAAGGAGATGGACGACATGGGGCTGTTTGCAAGTATTCTTGGCCACATCGGCGACGGTAACTTCCACGAAAGTATCATTTACAACCGGACGATCCCTGAAGAGCGAGAAAAGGTCGAGAGGTGCGTCCACAACATGGTCAAGCGAGCAATAGATATGGATGGAACGTGTACGGGCGAGCATTCGATCGGTTGGGGCAAGAAAGAGTCTCTGCTCCTCGAAGTCGGCTCCGACACCCTCGACGTAATGAAGTCGATCAAGCGTGCGCTCGATCCGAAATGGATCATGAACCCCGGAAAAATCATGGACATTCCCGAGGGCTCAAGGACGAACCAAGGTTCCTCGGTATAGCTATGAGGCCCGTTGACATGAGATGTCACTAAGAGCGGTTGCCATCGCCAAAGCTTTGGCGATTCTCATCAAAAAAACGACTGTGTAGGGCTGCGTAAGGACGTCATGGAAGATCTACCATCATGCAAGCCTTTGGGATTGGGCTTATGTGGATTGTTCTCTGATGTGCTGCCCAGAATGTGTTACTTAGGTGCCTGAAACGACCAGAAAGGTGACCATACCAAGAATAAGATCGGAAAAGTGTTAGGGAGGCATGCCGTTATTTTGCTTGATAAACACTGAATGCCAGACTGTGGTCTTCGATTCACCAGAAGCTATTCATGTCGTTGCGGCTGTGTTGCTGTTCCAGTCCACCGGAAGCAAGGACCGAAAGCTCAGTCGCAACGAGATACGGATAATGATTAAAATTGAGATGAGATTTGAATCTAATATCAGAGCAAACATCCGATGACAATGATGTGCAAAGTCTAAAGTGTGCAACCGAGTAGGAGATGGAATGAGGGCGGGCAATCGAGCCATGATTGAATTTGGAGATTGCAGTGGGTTGCGGGTAGCTGCATGCAAAGTGCTTGGGCAAAGAAAATTCGAAAACTTAAGCAATTTCAATCCAGGAATGGTTGACCTGAGGAAAGAGAGACCGGAGTGAATTGCCTGGTCCTCACTCCTTCTTCATAGGCACCTCAAGTGCCGCGGGCTCAGAGTGCCTTCCTCACCTCGACTTTACCCCCAGCCTTCTATTGTCCCCATCCTCCGCGCCCGTCTTTGTCCTTCCAATTGACCTCATCCTTCGAGCCTTCGACTTCGATCTTCGATCTTCCCTTCTGCCTTCATCTAAGACACTCCGCCCAGGCTATCTTGTCGAGAGCCAACCCGTTCAAGTACATACCCGCAGCTCATAGCTGTTTTACGAAATACGTCCTCAGCTTAGCGAAAAACCACAGACCAAGAAAACAAATTTGCTCGTACACCATCAGGCAGGTACACTTCAATTATTAATTTTTCAATTGAAACTTGCGGGATATAACAACCAACTCTGCTAACCTTGGCTTCTAGCATACAGTCCGCGTCATGGGAGAAGCAGATGAACCTTGGCGAACATGGCCGGAATTCAGGCTGAAGGTTCGTGGCCTTCCTGAAGCCGTTGATCTATCTGAGCTATACGACTCCTTCCAACAGTATGGAAGTATTTCTTTGCTAGAGATCGGAGAGAACCGGAAAGGCCAACGCGATGGATACGCCCTGGTTCGTTTTGAGCCTCCGCCCAAAGTCAACTTCTGGTCGTCAGGATTCCATATCGTCCGGCACAAGGGAGGCAAGAGCGCCCGTGTCATTCTCCAGACTTTCCGACCGCCTCATGAGAGATACTCCAATTTGATAAAGAGTCCCTCAAACCCCAATATCTGGTTCGATTCCAAGATGACACTTGAGGCGGAACGTATGGACTTTGGCACGCGCTTACAGGAGAAGGAGATGATGGTATTTAAATCCGTGCATAATGGCGTGCGCATCGACATGAGTTTGACCAAGAAGAAGCTTACTCTTCACTTTGATACTTGTCCTGTGGACTCATCAGAAGACCAGAACGGTGACGACGACGACGAGATATTTCACCACAAGTGCGGAATCGAGTTCGCCCGCCTCACTAATGTTTATCGAGTCGACCGAGATGAAGACATACTTCTGGTCATACCGTTAGAGCTTCCACCTATGTTCTGGACGAAGGCAAGCAGGAAGATGCGAAGCAAGATGGCCGCGGGCAAGACTTCATGGGGCATTACGGACATGTGGGAAAGACGCACAGTCATATTGCACAATGATCAACTGCCGAAAGACTTTCCAATCACACTTCAGTCAGACTTCGAAGATCCTGACTTCATCAATACTGGTCGCTGGACAACTTATAGATTCGCGATCCCAAAAGCTGGAAACGGCACTCTGGAGAAATTCCTGCAGGCTTTAGAGGCCCACAACATCACGGCCATTACTGTAGAGCACTTCGCGACTGCCTCTTCGCGACCTCCTCTGCTCGGTACTGTGTTTAGAGCCCAAGCTACCGACAGTCGATTGAGATCTTTTGACCCTGATTCCGATAATCACCACTTGCCCTTCGAGGTCCACTACCAGCTTGAGGTCTGTATCTCACGGGGTATTCTATCAGAGTACTCCATTAACCAGGCGTTCATCGACCGACTGCGTCAGATGGACAAGGACCGGGCAAAGTGGATGCTCGAGTACTTTTCGGATCAAGGAAAAAGGGAATGGAACCCGATGGAGATGTTTGGGAGTGAAGAGGCTGCTCTTTACTTTCCCGGCATGAGTATGCCATACTACTGCACCACGATCCGAAAGGTCATTGTCACACCATCGACCATGCACCTTTGCTCTCCAAGCATCGAATCCTCCAACAGAGTATTGCGAAAGTATAACTCTTATCAAGACCGCTTCTTGAGAGTTCAATTCACGGACGAGCTGTATAGAGGCAAGGTCTACAGCGATGCAGGCAACGAAATCCACCACCGCATTTACCGTGCCCTAAAACAAGGCATCAAGATTGGCAACCGCACTTACGAATTCCTCGCGTTTGGAAACTCGCAAATTCGAGAGTGCGCTGCCTACTTCTTCTGTCCGACCGATCATCTTTCATGCGATCAGATCCGAGACTGGATGGGGCACTTCAACCATATCAAAAATGTCGCCAAATACGCTGCTCGTATCGGCCAGTGCTTCTCTACAACGCGAGAAATCCGAGGTGTCACCGTTCCACAGATTGTACAGATGCAAGATATCGAGCGTCAAGGCTATTGCTTCAGCGATGGTGTCGGCAAAATTTCGAAGCTATTGGCCGAAATGGTAGTCCATGAGATGGGCCAGGATACGGTTGGAATACCCTCTGCTTTCCAGTTTCGCATGGGTGGCTGCAAAGGCATGCTGGCTGTCTGGCCTGATGCCAAGGGCCTCAACGTTCATATTCGACCTTCGCAAGAAAAGTTCAGGGCCCAGTTCAACGGCTTAGAGATCATCAAGTTCGCGCAGTTTTCACCAGCCACGCTGAATCGACAAACCATAACCATTCTTACGACGCTCGGTGTCAAGGACAGTCCAATATTGGATCTTGCTGAACAACAAATCCAGGGCTACGAGAAGGCTATGAAAGACCGAGTTGCCGCTGCAAGCTTACTGGGGCAATACATTGACGAGAACATGACATCTCTAACAATCAAAGATCTCGTCTGTTGGGGCTTCATGGATGCAGAGATTCAAGAGCCTTTCGTGCTGACAATTCTGGATCTCTGGCGGATTTGGTCTATGAAGCTGCTGAAGGAAAAGGCGCGCGTGGTCGTCGATCAAAGTGCTTTTCTTCTCGGTTGCCTGGACGAAACAGGCACACTGAGAGGTCACAGCCAGGCAACTGAGGGGAAGAATACCAACAACATCGAGGACTTGCCGCAGATCTTCCTTCGAATTCCGAAACCACAAGATGGCGAATTCTACTGCGTCACCGGCGTGTGCATCGTGGGACGAAACCCTTCACTTCATCCAGGTGATATTCGGGTTGTGGAAGCGGTTGATATCCCTGACCTCCATCACCTCCAGAATGTTGTGGTGTTTCCAAGCACCGGTGATCGAGATGTCCCTAGCATGTGCTCCGGGGGTGACCTCGACGGAGATGATTTCTTCGTCATCTGGAACCAAGACCTCATTCCCCAGAACTGGCACCACAAGCCTATGAACTACATCGCACCCAAGGCCCCGAAACTGAAGCGAGATGTCAAGGTATCAGATCTGAGAACATTCTTCGTTCGTTATATTCAGAACGACTGCCTGGCCAAGGTTGCAACTGCACATCTAGCTCACGCCGATCTCTCTAAACAAGGAGCGAACGACAAGAAATGTGAGTTAATTGTCTGCGAGTAACGATAGATACAAATTAACACCGAGTTTCTAGGCTTGAGGCTGGCAGAGCTGCACTCCAAGGCGGTAGACTACGTCAAAACTGCAGATCCAGCTGAATACCCTGACGAGCTCGATCCCAAACAGTGGCCGCACTTCATGCGCAAATTTAATGCATACAAATCCCAGACTGCGCTTGGCAAGATCTTCGACAGAATCGTTGAGCAGGAGCTCAACCCTCTCTACGACAAGAAGTTTGACGGAAGGGTATTGAGAAGGTTTGAACTGCCCGAAGAACTTCTACAAAAGGCTCGCAAGATCAAAAAACAATACGACACAGCTATGCGTCGTCTCATGAGTCATCGCGACGTTCACACCGAATTCGAAGCATGGACAGGCTTCATTCTGTCAAAACCCCGGGTTGGCAGCGACTACAAGCAGCAAGAGGACATTGGTCGAGAATCAGCGGCACTCAAGCAAAGATTCCGAGAGATTTGCTACACAGAGGCCGGGAGCAGACGGTTCGAAGACTTCGCCCCTTTCGTGGCTGCAATGTATCAAGTGACCGAGCAAGAGGTCAATGTAGCGCTTGCAGACGAGTACGAAGACGAAGATCACAAGCGACAATCGATGCCCCTGATCAGCTTCCCGTGGATCTTTCACTGGATCATGGGGCGCATCGCCACGGGCAAGGTCAAGATCAAGCCTACCGTCGACCCCGAAGCCAAGGCGGTACCCATGAGGTCGTACCCTATTCGTCGATTCGAGCAAGATGACAAGGATGCCCATCAGGAGACTCATCTCGACGACGGCAGAGTGGTGCACCACGGTGACCTATTGGAGGTATTTGAGAGCATCACGAAGGAGGCTTCCGGAGTCTCACCGTCACCCGATGAACGCGATGCTGCTACTGGCCAGGAGGAAGAGATACACGTTGAAGAGGAAGACACTGCCATGGACGCCATGGACCGACTGATGGAGAGTGCCTTGATCTAAGGATAGTGAGGCGCCGGACATGGCTTGGTTCTGCTGCGACACGGGCGTTTGACAGGTCATTCCCGTAACGGGAGTCATTAATCATCGACAACGGAGGAGCCAGAGGAGGAGCAGCGATAACGGAGGGGGAGGGCTTTTCTGTGTCACTATTGGGCCTCGATAGTTTCCGAAACAACCCCCATCAGGCGACTCTTCTCTTCATTTTTTGGCTTCTGCCTCATGCAGATAGGTAGACAGGTACAGTTGATGCACAACAATCATCAGGTTCGCTTCTTGACGCACAAATCGCCCGTTTCCCAAATGCCCACTGTGACCTTAGGGCCCAGGGGTGGTGGTGGTGAAGTCCCGTTACCGGCTCGTGTCTTGATTACGGATAGATCCTTGGTTTCCCGTACCGAAGGAGGGTAGTCAGGCGGGCAGGCGGGTGAGTGAGAGTGGGTATGGGCTGGCTCACGTTGCGTTGCCGCGGGAAAGTAGCCAGGGCTCAAGGGGGCGGGGGGGGGGGGGGCGAGGAGGAGGTGACATTGAAATGTAGCCCTACCTTTCACGACGTCCGTTCGGGGAGCCGGCGGGACGTTTGCCGGATGTGCAGTGCGTTAGGTTTTCCAGGTTCCATTGCTACCGTTCCCATGCTTCGACAGTCCCCGAAGAAATATCAGGATGAAAAGGGGGGGGCATGGAAATAGAAGGGATTTCGTGATGGCAGTCCGTACGAAGTACTTTCGTAGCAGGCAGCGTGGGGGAAAAGGGGGTTAGGTAGGTACGCGTTTACTTGGCTGCTCCTCCAAGGCCACCCCTCCGGTGGCCGTCCAATCCGAATTCGTGCACATCAGTCTAAAAAGGAAGTGTTTGGGCGGCACGGCGGCGGCGACGGGCGGGACAGGATTTGAGTAGGAGGATGGGAGGATGATGTATGAGGAACGTTCCAAGAGAAAGAAGGGCCGTATAGACGGGCTTTTCCGGATCGTCAATGTCATCACTTTCTGAAAAGGAACATCTACTTGGCACACGCGATGTCAATACCGTTTTCACTCTTGGTTGGGGTTTTGAGCACTCGGCGTGTTCCTGGTGGACCTGACTGAACCGTCTGAATGTAGACGACTAAGGTAGGCATGGAAATGTCGGGTTGCGATTGGGGCATCAGATTTCCTCCATTGTCCACTCCTCTCCCACCGGTAATCCTCCGGTACGAAATGCCACCCATACCTATTTGGCAACCAGTGTCCATCCTCGCCTTCACCTTGCCTGTGCGACCTACATGTCTCCAACGTCCTTCCCACATGTTCTAGCCAAGCCCGACGACGACGACGACGGTGACAGACCTGTCTGTTCTGTTCTATTCAGCCCACGTTCGTCCACAACACAGTTGTCGATCAAACGGCGAAGCCTAATCAGGCGCAGCATGCATACAGCGAGATCACTTGACCTAGAGGCCAGCGCACTGTCGAAGTGTATGGTCCCACTTCCAACAGACGTGTTGCAACATTCTGTTCCCACTTCTCCATACGATCCAGCAATATCTGATCAAATAAGAGGGGGACAGTAGGATCCCGCGTACGATTCCGTGGTCGGATGGGGTTCATCATTGTCTTGGGACCCAGGAAAGGGCCGTTCTCAGAGTGGCGTGGCGATGACTGGTACCAAGGCAGTGGGCTGGGGAACGGGGAGGCGGGCAAGGAAACGGGGGAAAGGCGAGCAAGAAAAGAAATCGAGAACGATGTGTGCTCTCTTCAGCTTCTTTCGTTTGCTCCACGTCCGAGCGGGCATAAAAAGAAGACAAAAGAAGGCGGATCGAGAGGAGGAAATCGAAGTCGAAGTAGAAGCAGAAGCAGAAGAAGACCGGGGGGGTAAGGATGTTGCTTGATGGTTAGATCGCTGATCGCAAATTCCTCTCTCTCCTCTCTCTCTCACACTCCGCTTATTTCTTTACTTCCTGACGCAAAGGTCTGTTCTCAGCACCCACTTCTCGCCTGCGCTGACCTCGCGCCCCTCGTGCTGTTGATAAGTGGAACATGTGTCAGTCTGCAGTGGCCTTCGCTGCGACCAGGTACGGTGTGTGGGAAAAAAAAAATGATCAAGGGACAGGCAGGTAGTGTAGGCGGGAGGGATGCAGGGGTTTTGTTGTGCTGCCCAGGTTGCTAGGTGGTACCATGGTGCAGAGTGGACATATCGAGTTTGGTGGTTGGGAGGGGAACTTTGAAGTGATGGGATTGGAGCACAGCCAGAGAAGCGTGAGAAAGGAAGAGGCAGAGAGATGGAGAGGCGAGGCCGCAGCTGAGGTGGCCGTGGTTGGGTCCTCGTTTCGCGCCACGAAAAGCAATGAGAAAAAAAAAGGCACTGGAGAGCGAATTGCCAACGAATACATCGTGGTGGCAACGATCAACGTTGCACCAAAAAACGACAGGTTCAGGTGCATCTGGCTATGGCCATGGTCCGTTCGGGGATCAGGGGAGGACACATGGAGTTTTTGATAGTACCGAGGACTGAAGGGCTGAAAAATCTGAACAGAAGAGACTTACCAGCATGCAGTCGTCGCCATGCTTGTGTAAGAGGAGCATGCCCGTTTCGAGAGCGACCGGGATCTCCTCCTTAGCGGAGCGGCGGTCGTTGGGGAAGAAGACGGTCTCGCCGCCAACACAGCCCTCGGCGGAAGAGGTAAGGTAGAGGAGCAGCGTCCAGGTTGTCTTGCACGTGACGGGTCCGGAGGAGGCGTCGATGTTGAGCGATACCTTGTTGGAATCGTCGTCTGCAAGTGGGGGTTCCAATGGTCAGCCTAGGTCGATCTTGAAGCTGGAGAGGAGGAGGAAGCCTGCACGGAAGACAAGTGAAAAGATACAGAAGAAAAGACTTAGAGCTCAGAAGGGAAAAACACCATAGGGTCGCCGGAAGACAAGGAAAGCATGGTGGCCCTGGTTCTCTCAGTGCCGAGTTTCTTGTTTGGATAGGAAGATGCGAGATGTCGAGGGGCATCGCTGGATCGGACTCGCAGGCTCCCGGACTCAGCTTCCCACATCATCCAGGGGGAGATAACGCCATGAAGCGGATCGGGATGGAACGATCCGCAGGGTTGTGGCTTCTGGGACGAATCGTTGGGTCTCTGGTGCTCGGATGAAAGATCGTGATGACTTGGAGAGTGCAAACAAAAGAGGACTGAGCGGAGGAGACAAGATATCATATATCATAAATGATCATCTGAAGGGTAGATCGTTGACCCAGACACTTGTTGTGGGTCCCCGCATCGTCTCCCCAAAGGCCAGTGGTCCAACAAATTCACATCTTTCAGCAGGTTTCTCATGCAGAGTCGAAAAGTCACGACCTGCTTCATAGACACGGGTCTTGGATTCGAGGTGGTTGAGACATGCATAGTAAGGGAACCGTGGTAAAAGGTAGTGCCCACAGGAATGGGTCGATGAAGGTAATTGTCATGGGAAGGGGGAAACGTATGGATCGAGCACGATCAAACCCTCGTACAATCTGCTTAGTGACGGGCATCGTGGCATGTCCACTGGGACGGAGGCAGTGATTTGCAACGTTCTCGTTACAACCCGACTTTGGGGATCCAGAAGTGTCGCTCTGTAGAGAGCAAGCACTTCGTTGGTGTCAGGCGAGTTAGGTAGCTACCCATGGCCGTGTCCCCAAGACAAAGGCTTGTAGAGCTCTGGCACATCGCAGTCTTTGACCAGTGACAAATATGCGCAGCCTATGGCAATCGCGCGAGGACCTCGAAGCACTTGGCCACTGGCCTAGTTGCATAGAGCGGCGGAAATCTTGTTGGTTGACTGGCAGAGTGCCTAGTGCTCCCGGCGCCTGTGGCGTTGGGTGACAAGAGAATGATTTGACTATGAGACTTACAATGTGCATCGAAATACTGGCCCTTGGAGTAACGATAGATGCGAATATTGGGGTTCAGACCAACGACTTCACCGCCCCTAGAGCAATCGATCCACGTTAGCAAGTCTCATGACAAGCCTTTAGCTTTAGCGAAAAGACCTCTACGCAAGCGGTTTCTTCTTCTGCGTGGGTTTCATGTTTGTTATAACTGTTTTTGGACGTAGGTATAATTTGATTGTGCGCAGACGCTGGCGGATCTAGCCGGAAGCGCATGGGATGCGCTGTTCATGGCCAGGGTGCATTCGGAGGGCCGGGGGATGGGTAGGCAAGGTAGGGACTAGGGGAGTTGGAACAGAAGACAGTGGACTCACCATAAACCCTGAATGTCTTCTTGAGCAAGCGATTCGCGCAGTCCAGTCTCCGTCCACAGGCGTTGAGCAAAGGCAGCATCCTGCACTTGAAAACGGTCATTCACTCTAACCGCTTCTCCCCGCTTAGGCCGACCAGGGGTGGTGATCAGCGGTAAACCCCTCAGAAATGTGACATAGGAACTGCAGAGGGATTTTGGCCAAAAGTTGCGAATCAGGACGACCTTGTCCGGGCAAGAAGCGAGCTGGTCGGCAGCCAGATCGGTAACCGGTAACGGCGGTTTGAATTGGGGCCATGCGGGCGGTGCGGCAGGAATCGAGGCGATTGTGGTCAACTTTGCGTTGCCGCCGCCATTATTAGTTCCAAGGCCGGCCTTTGTCTTGCCGGCGGTTGAGTTTTTGGGTTTCCCCATGGTATTTGGCTTATTCCCCACGGTATACCGATAGGGTTCGTGCTGTCCCGTATGTACAGAAAGAACGGGACGTGTTTCTCGGGATGATGTGCAGCGGGCCAAGTAATATCAGGTGGCTTATGGTTCCTGACGGCTGTCTGGGACACAACTGAGGCTCCCGCTACTATGTAGCAAAGTGGCGTGGCAGAGAAGGGAGGGGTGGACGCCGACAGGCTGGTCTTTGCGAGAGACGTTGGACAGGGTCAAGTTCGTATGTCAAGCGGTTGATTGGCTGTTGAATATTGGCCGAATCGAGTCTGCAAATCGTTGTCGCGCTTGGTTTTGTGCTCCGAGAGATGCCGTTGGAGCCCTGATGATCAACCCACGTGAGAGCTGGCGGGGGTAAGCCAGGATGAGGGATGCTGAGGGTGGGACCGCGATTCGTCGGCTGGCTGAACCCTTTGGCGATGACGTCTAATCTCTCGGCAGATTGGGGGTTTCGTGCGTAGGGAGAAATATAACTTTGTGGGCAGCAGTCTGCAGAAAGAAAAGAGAATGATGTTGACGTTGAGTGGTTCATGATGGATGGAAGTGGGCTCAAATGATGCAGGCGCTAAGGTACCTTATCCATAAGGTAGGTGCTACTCCGTAAAGGTAAGGTAGGTACGGAGTAGGTGGGTGGTAGCCTTGTGTTGGCCAGGTGGTTGTACTGTGTGCGGCTTACAGTGTGAACGGTGCTCTCGATGGCGTGTGCGGCGTGCCATCCTGGGAAGCCGTGCCTTACCCGACCGCCGCCGCTTCCATTTCTGAGATCCCCCGTGGACCCATGCCAGAGTGGATCCCATCTTCTCCGGGGGTCCGGGGGAGACGCCGCCGGGACCAGGGCCTGGCGATGGATGGGCAGCGCTAAGCATTGGTCTCGCTCGATCTTGAGAATCGCCTTTTCTTCCTCCCACTGGACCTGAGCCCTCCCTGCCTTGTCCTACCTTTCGTCATATATCAAACAGCCAGCCTCCGTCTCCCTATGTAACTTTTCATCAGAAAGTGACAATTGATCAAAAATCCCATTTCCCCTCTGCCATGTCTGGGTCTTCCTTGACATCTTCGGTATTCGTGACTAAAGCCTGCATCGTGTGGCGTGCTCCTAGCAAATACGACTTAGATTCGCACGCATCCATTTCCTCTCTGTCGGATTCCAGTCTGTGCGCAGCGTCCCGTCGCTTTGGCGCCATATCCTGTCGGCTCTCGCGACCTGGAGCTTGCTAAAATTGACCGCAACGCTGAAACGTAAGAACAGCCGATGGGAGGGAAAAGGCGGCGGTTACCAAGTAGATAGCGTGCGACGGGGAAAGACCCCCGACGGTGTTTTAGCAAACTTTCGGCAACGCGGTTGCTCCCGTCGCCCTTCGAAACTTCGGTCGTACAAGTTTGCGTGTCTTTGGGGTGGCCCGTTAGGCAATCGGATCATTGCATATCAAACGGCACTTGTTGATGGCTGATAGGCAAACATTGAACTTGGCCGGCATAGCACGGCCGCATTGGCCCATCGAATCGATCTGACAATAACACGATGCAATTTGGCAATCTGATCTGTGACCCAGTGTTGTGGTAAAGGAACCGTGGCACCCCAGGTTCGAAAAGTACGATAAACTCGCGCCTCGGCGATCGCGGAGATTCCCACCTGCACTGCACTGCATATCGAAAAAATCTGGTCCTTTGCTAAAATCCCTCATTAACAGCAGCAACTTGGATTTCACCAAGAGAAATCTTCTGCTGTGGATAGGCGTCACTTTTGGCTGGATCCTCGACGTAATTGGGTGCTGACTTCGTGACTATTGCCTTTCCTGGCTGAGGCGCTAGATCTCGCAAGAAGTGATATATGACAGGACCCGACGAGTTGTAGGCTTGTCGCGTCACAAAACCTGCCAACCTCCTGATTGATTTCTGCACATCTGACTTCGTCACTCGCTTTGACCTTGAAGAACAGGACTCATCCTTGTTCGTCGCAAGAGAGTTGTCTCGCGCTGTAAGTCGTCTCCCTCATAATGCGAGACTGCAGGTATCCTTCTTTGACCATGAAGAAGACAATCAACGTGTGATGAAACCCAGTTGACCTGAGACAATCCGGTCAATTTGGAACTCGTCAGGAACCGTGAGCCAACACATGTCTCCCATCCAACTCAATTGCGGCTTGTTTGTCTTGGAGTGTTTGTCAAACCAGGCGCCCGACTGTCGGGACGCCGTTCTCCTTGATCGAGCGTACGGAGTAAGGTATGTTGAGGGAGGGGAGCTCTGCCGTAGTCCCCACAGACGACGACTGGCAGCGCACCCCGCTGACGATGCTTTTGGGCGATGCGCTTTATCTCATTTTGCGACTGAATCCGAAATCACATCTCACGAACATGAATGCGATGACTTCACCCACTTTGTGCCCATTCGTAATCCACCCCATGAGCACATGATGCCTCGACCCAGTGTTTTCATCATTTTGCTGATTCTCAACCTGATGCGCCCGTCCACGACCTGGATCGCTCTGGTTCTGCATGAAAACCACGATCGCAATCTACCCAGTTCCTTGTCATCGTAGCACTATTGACGACAACGTAACGGCGGTATTGTTGCTTTCGGGCTTGCGTGAGGTGCGGCCGGTCCAAACAAGGGTCTGGAGCTAGGCAAAAGATGGTATTCCACATGCGAATGGACTGTTGTAAGTTTATTGTGGTGACATCGCATCGGGTATCAGCAGGATCAAGTGCTTGTCGTCTTCAGCATAAGGTGAATGAAGAATCCGATTTTCAAAAGGCGACCAACCAGAAAAGTGTCGTCGAAAACGATCGCGTTTGGTGTTACTGTACTATTGGGACGTTTGCCGAGCCTGCATTGGGCGCCTTTTGCCAGCCATCGCGCGCATGCGCTGGGGAACCCAGCAGCTTGGTGCAACCAAAAACCGACAGCGTGTCACGAAATCGTCAGAACCCATCAGCGATCCAGCAATCAAGATCTCGGACAATCGATCGCTGCCGAGACAAGCATCTCTTCAGGTCTGTTTGCAGTTGGCGAATGAAGGCCTCCGAGCTGGGGACATGAGTCGTAAAACAAGTAGGCCCGTGAGGCGTCGATGGCGTGTAAGTGCAGGTAGTTGAGAAACGACACTTGATCTGTCATTTTGACGGTCTTGCACAGGTACTTGTTGCTGGAAAACCTTTGAGCATCCAGTGGACAAGTGGAATTGGCGGCGGGGTCTAGGCATCTCGCCAGATGCAGCCATCAGCGAAGCTGGGCAGGCCCCGGGGAAGGCATCCGACCATCTGACTGGCATGTCATCTGCAGGTGATTTCAACTGATGGGAGCAGCCGTTGCAATGTGGGCTGTCATCCCAAGATGGGGGGGAGGCAGATTGGTCGTATCTTGCGGGCCATTTTGATTGGGCATCGTAATCATGGGGAGAGCCGTGTGCCATTGCTCGACAAGGGCTTTAGCGCAGCCATCTGTTCCGTAGCGCCATGGAGCATATTAGACCGCTGCGACTGCCAGCAGGTCATCTGCAGAGGCCGGAGGGGAGGCCGGATGGCTTTCGCGGACGCAATCTTGAGGTTTCCGCCCTTCTTAATATGCCGTCCACGCTGTGGCTTGGCTGCCGCAGTTGTAGTTGCAATGGCAAGGTACCTGACGAGTCTGGATGCGTGGCTTCTGGAAGTTGTGTATGTGGTGTTGACAGTGGGCCAACGTGCATTTCGTCCGTAGCGAACGGTAGCATTTCGCGAGTCGCCAGCATGCCGCGAAATTGCAAGATACAGATACGAGGGTAAGGAGGATATTGACAAGAGATTTTTTTTTTTCAATTTCAGTTGGGTGAATTCGTTTGTGTCATTGTCTTCTTCTCCTGCGATTGCTGATGGGAAGATGTAGAAGCAAGACACCACGCTGAGGGAGAGAAGGAGATGAGATCGAAGCCCAGGAGCATCGCTGTAACCTGGAAGGAACGTCGATTGGAACCCTTGGCCGGCACTGAAGCCGATGCGTTGCGGTATACGTACCTGACTTACATAATGCACACAGCTCACAGCCCGCTTAGTTGCCCGTCAAAGGTGTATGGACCAAACGGAACGCAAGGTCTGTTTTGTTGCATATACAAGTACAGGGCCCGAAAATTTTAGTGGCGGGAACTTCCTTTCCCCGACTTCCAATCCAGAGGAGCTCCCAAGTCTGTCCCGCCAGAGCTCCGCTTTACCTCCCCAGTCTCTCAACACCAACCGCGCAAGGGACTCCATCGACACCCGTCTCGATCAATTGAACCGGCAGATGCCGTTCTGAGCTTGGTGAGCTGCTCCGAGAATGCCACGATGTTTTTGTTTTGTCTAACAGTAGCTTCAATGGAAAGGGGTATAATCCGATGCTCGCGCAACTCTCCCCTTCCGCCATGGCTTCCCAGAATGAGTCGCCTGACACTCGCCCGACGCAGTCGCAGGCCCGACCAACATCCTCACCTTTCCAATCGAGAGCCGCGAAACAACTTGGCCTCTTTTTCGCCGGCGCCGGCTTCTTCGTATTTTCGGCAATGGTTACCCGACGCTCCGTGGCCCGCAAACAACTCGCCGCCTTCCCGAAATTCTATCAACCTAGCCACTATGCTGCGGGCAAACAAGGGAATCCAGAGGGTGGCATGATTGCTGTCGAGGCTTTGAACCTGGCCACACTGAACGTCATGAGCTTCGCAATCATGATGACTGGTGGTGCTGCTTGGGCATTTGACGTGTCTTCGGTCGACGACTTGAGAGAGATGGCTAGGAGAAGCATCCGTGGAGCGGCTGGCCAGACGGACGAGGCGGCTGAGAAGGAGTTCGAAGAATGGGCTGCAAATATTTTGACAAAGTTCGGCAAGATGCCGGAAGAGAGCAAAAAACAAGACGACACAAAGACCGAGGCCGATTCAAAAACAAGCAAGTAAGGACGGCGAAGTGGCTACTTCTAGACCATGCTTATCCTCTCTGTCGCGAGATGCGGACGCTCCCTGGGCAAGCCTCACATTTGGTTGCTACCAGATCGTTTCCGCCGCGACAAATGTACAATTGATAAGGCGAATATCGCCAGATAAGACACATCTCACCATCAAGCGACTGAACAGCTAGTACTGCCCGCTCTGAGCTAGCATTTCTACCCAGCAAGAGTGCTGGCTTTCGTGAGCAAGCGAGACCGGACGGGGTCTATCGAAATGAAAAAGCCACCAAGATGGCGGTGTTGACTTCGGTCTCAACCTGTGGCGGAAATTCGGTGGCCTCGGTCCATGTCTACAACGGGGCTCTGGGTTCTGCACCGCGGCGTTCCTGGCAGCATACGGATAGGGTGATCAGTTATGCTGTCTTAGAGCCAAGTTGGAGCCCCCAATTTGTGGACCGCAAAGACTCGATAACTTCATGGGAGAAAGGGGTTTAAGCCCATGTTCGACTTGTGAAATCTGGCGGGGTCACCGCTTAGAAGCTAGTGGCTGAGGAGGTTTTGCAGGCGTCCGGCTACTCCACGTCCGCGCAGTCTGGATGGTGTTCCGGCATGGTCGAACAACCAATGGCGTGTCTCGCCCTATCACTTCTCAGAATTTTGCGTTCCATGTTCATGACATTTCTTTTGAAATGAGTCTCTCTGTCTGCACCGAACAAGCGCCATGATATGCTACCGCGAAGGATTTCCAGCTATTCAGACAGCGTCAATGGCGTTAAAAAAGTCTGACAGTTGGATACAGTTGTCGTAGATGATGCCTTTTTCCTGCTCTCGAGATGTTTGACTCGAATCTCTTTCTTATGTCGACTACCAGTGATGATCCAAGTCCAAGTGGCCAAAGACGAGAGACGTGGACGATACGAACTGGCTGAAAGCCATGTTCCGATACACAATGGTGCTCGGTACGCAATTGCGAAGGCACTGGCTGGCTTACACAACCGTACACAACCACACAAGCGTGACAAGCCAGTTCAAAGCAGCCAGCCAGGTCTTGAGGGTGGAGAAAGGGTCCGAGACAGCCATGGCGGCATGGCTTTGCTACCTATACAAATCACACCCCAGTCGTCCCGGCCTGCCCCGTCATGATCCCTGGTCTGTCGTCGACAAGGATCTGTACCTTACGGCCCTAGGTACCTAGCAGATCGCCCTCTAGTGCATCCTGGGATTTCTTCCATGTACACGCCCTTACCCCTTGTCCCTACGTCCGCAAGAGATGGGAGGGTGTCGACTGGGATTGCGTACGAGTTCATTCTGGCGGATGTGCGATGAGGCTTCCGCTGCAGCTCCTCCTTGACCCATGGTATGGGTATCGGACCCGAATCGATGCCAAGTCGCATATGGTACAGTCAAGTGCCCTAGGCGTATGCGTTCACGCTTCTCTCATATTCCGATTTATGTTATAAAATTCGTCACTTCCTCGTCAACACTGCTGGTCACCGCTCCTCCATGTTTCTTCACCTATATCACCCTGCCTGATATTGACGCTTCGACGTTGTCTTCGCACACCATCTACTACTCTGTTCACAGTGTAGCCTGGTCTCGACTCATCCACGGACGTAACGCCGACTCTCTCCAAGCTATGTGCCACGCCGAAAACTATTAATCCTCGTGGTGGTGTTGATATTTACCTTGCGGCCTGCCCACTTCTTTCTTTCCTCTTTTCCATCAGACTAGCAGCCTTCCTTGGAAGACGATATGTCACATAATACGATCCTGGATAGCGATCCAGTCAACGCAAACATGCAGCCGGCGCATGGCACGCTTGTCCATGGCGGGCGATCTCTCGACGGCCAGGAATACCAGCGAGGTGATCCGGTGGCCATCGTGGAGAACGGCACAGCAGAGGACCTTTCAGATGCGCTTCACATTCTCAACCTCCGGACCAACCAATGTATGCTCGTGCCTTTGAAGGCTGTCTGCTGGGTCCCGACTCACACTGAGCAACGATCCGGAACCACTTTCCTGCTTACATTGTACGGCCCGAGCCTGGATTTCCGCCGTTCCGTCTCAGAGCGCCCTCAGATGGGATATCGCGGCATCGCAACGCTCTTTGGCTCCTGTGTCTACGTTGGACGCGAGGTCATGCTGGAGGGTAACGCATCAAGAGTCAATTTGGAACCCGCCAACAGAGTCTCATTGTTTACGGCCCAGTGGGACGCACTCTCACTCAGCACGGATGTGCAACAGCCTGCATTGACTCCTTCGGCATCCTCTTGCGCATCGTCCAGGAGCCCTTCTGAGTCGGGGGACGACGTTCCTCCTCCTCGGTTCTACCGTGTGCAAGGGCGTCGAGACTCTGCTATTGAAATTCGAGACCCTGATTCCCCCATTTACAAGTCATCTATGGGGCGAATGGTGCGTACCCTACCTTGAAAGCCATGGAGTTCCAGAACTTCAGCTGACCGCTCTTCAACAGTCCACTTCACCTAAGCCGTTCCACATCCCCACCGTATCTTTCGCAACGAAGCCCAACACTCGTATTATTGCTGAAGCACCGAAAGCTCGACCATACGGAAGCAACGCCTGGTCAGACTTAGAATCTGATGACGAGTTTAGCTTCGACATCTGTCCATCATTCAGCCTCGACCCTGCCTTTGCTGACAATCTGGACCTCTGCATTGGCGAACATCACATGGACGGCATGATTGCAGACGCCGATCTCCAGGTCAACTTTGTTTTTATGCCGCAGAACGAGAGTAGCAACTACGTGCCTGGACAACATGACCAGCAAAGGCAGGGTGCTAACGCTCAGGAGCCTCTGTGGGTCACGCAAGGCCTCAACACAGATAATGGCAATGCTTGGGATACCTTGCAGATGCCACCACAGCAGGTTCCGGAAATGCGGCAACCCCAGTTGCCAATGCCCCAGCGACAACAGGCGCTGCCCTCGAGGGCAGTCAGCCATGGCGACTACTACGAGCAGTATCGCCTTGCGGAGGAGCAAGGCAGCTCTCACAGCCACAACGGACCCGTGGGCCATCATCCTCCGCAACCGGAAGCTGTTCACCTGCAAAATGACCCTCGCGCCAGCTACTTGCCTTCTCAGATTCCTCCTTCACACCCTTCTCAGCCCCTTCAAGATTTCCAAATGCACCCACGGTATCCGGAACAGTCGAACAGACTCCCGATGCCAGGCCCCTCATTCCCTGCGCCTCAAGAGGTCCATGTTATCCAGAGCAACCGCCCCACATCCCGGCCATCATACCCCCTCCCGTCAAGCTCTTATAGCCCGGTACAAGAAGGCAGCTTGCCTTCGACTTCACAAAGTCAACAGCCAAGGCGTAGTCCGCGTCCTGACGACTCTCGCCCTTCAAGCACACGCGGGACGCCAGTCATGGCTCGCCGAGCACCAGCACAACCCGTCCATACGTTTACGCCGAGTGGAATCATCGATTCCTTCCGACAGAGCACACAAGCTCACATCAGCTCCTTGGAGAGTCATTGCGAGCAATTGCAGCAGAGCCAGACCAGCGATGACCAGCTTCGTCAAGTGAACGAGTCGCTTCAAGCCGCTCGACGAAACAACGAGGAGTCTTTGCAGCTTCTCGGCCTGCTTCAGCCTATCACCGGTATCCCTTTGAAGGGCACAGAGAAGAGGCTTCAGTCGATCGCTGATCAGATCGTTGATGCAATCAAGAGCCTGCTTCCCGACGGCAGCGATGGTTCTGACAAGACGATCGAACAGTTGGACCAAAAAGTACAAAGCCTCAAGGAGTTCATCGAGTACGTTGAGGGAGTTCACCCTGAGGTGGTCAAGCGCCCGCAGGACCCCGCGACAGCATCTACGGACAAGAGCCAGACTGTCCCAGTCACGACTGCGAACCGGGTCCCCTCGGCTCCCGCGTCCGTTTCTTCTCACACCGCGGATGAGTCTGACTCCTGTCGCTGGGTAGACGGCCAGGCTACACCCCCGCCGGATCGATCCGCAGCAATGGCCTTGAACCGAGACCGCTCGCGCATGTTCCGGGACATGACTGCTGCTCATGGTCGTCGTCCCGAGCCTCGCATTAGCACTGCTCCAGAGTACTATGCTCCTACCAGCTATAGCCAGCCGTCATCCCGAATCCACTCGCCGCTTGCTACGCATTCTGCGCCTGCGGAGCCTCCCCATGCGGCTGGTCACGGTTTCTTCCAACAGCCTCTCCCAACACAGATTCAACAAACGATGCCCATCGCCGACTTTGGGACCCCGCTGCAGGAGCGAAACATGCAAGCCTACCCGCCTCCCACCTCGGTCGAGATGATGCGACCGATGCAGCCCGTGTCGAGCCTTCCACCTCAGCACTACACAACGCAAGAAAGCAACTTCTACCTGCGACCACCGCCACCAAACTGCCTGTACCCAACGACCGGAGCCGAAATGGCCCAGGCTGCCTACGCTCCGCGGTCGCCCGTGGGTTACCAGCCGGCCCCGGGCCCAGCGCAGAGCAACTACTACCAGGACATGCGGTCTGGTCTCCCGGACCGGCGAACGGTCCGCCAAGAGCGTCCTGCTCCCTATTCCCTCAACTATAGGGATCAAAGGCGACGAAGAGGAAGCCAGTGATGGGCTCCTTCGATTTCACATGAAATATTTTACACACGTATATAGATTGGGTTCCGGCTGGCTATTGTCTTTTTTTTGCCATTCGACTGTGTCGATGGTTCTTCTTTTTCTGCTTATCATCCTGGTTCTAGCTAGCGAGCATTTGATATCCTGCATATTGTTATGGCGAGGCGTTCTCGGAGCGAGATCGATTGTTTCCCTGGAGCGAACTGGCTGCTGGAAGATGTAGAGACGTCATCTAAAACATCGTGGCCCTTTAATTTCTAACTACTAAGCATATTTCGAATGTTATGAACTTTTTGTTGTTTCTTCAGGAGGCGGAGGGGACGACGGGACATTGGGTATACGAAGGACAATGTTCACGTTTGACGAAGGAAATTGTTTGATAAGGGTTTGCTCGGGGTTGG